GAGATAGAGATGAATACTGATGATGACAATGACAACGATGATGATGGATCTTTAAATATTGTAAGCTGCCTGGAACCACCTATGTGTGAGTTGTGTGGCTCTATAAATTTCTATAGAAATGTAAACAGACACACACACACACACACACACACACACACACATGGGAGGGAGGCAGGGAGGGAGAAGGAAGGAAGGAAGGAAGGAAGGAAGGAAGGATTCCACAGTGAAGTAGATGTTCTCAGGGTATCGTGGATTAATAGATTAATCCATGGATCCTTAGTGGGAACTTTTTTGATATTCAATATTGTTCATTTTATGGAAAAAATTTCCTTTGAGGGTTTCAAAAGAAGACTAATTCGTTCTTTTGTCCAAGGTGCTTTCCTGCAGTGGATCAATACTTGAAATTGTTTTAGTCTGATTTCAGTTTCTTTGTTCATCACTGAAAACAGCTAAGAGGTATATCCTTACTGTGGTTTATGAACTCTCTCTCCTTATAATCCTAGTGAATCCAGTGACGAGAACCAATAGTAAAATACTAAGCAATTTTTTTTTTTACAATTTGAGGCTGATATTGTTTCCACCCCAGTAGCTGTGTTGTTTCTGCTGCCCTGTTATGTTATGGTGTTATGTATAGCACCTGCTTTATTGCATATTTTATTTACCTGGCTATCTTCCTGGTTGCTGTAAGAATGCCAGGTAATTGAAAAATATATTCATAACAATTGTTTTCATCCTGAAATAGCAGTTGAAGTGATGATAAGAAATCCCAATTGGTTGTTAACATTTCCAAGGTAGAGTAATTTAAACATGGCATGAAGAACGCAGTCTTCAGTGGTGAAGAATTCACCGTCTTTCAATGGCATGTTTTTAGAACAGGGGGTCTCCAACCTTGGCAACTTTAAGACTTGTGGACTTCAACTCCCAGAATTCTTTGCTGGCTGAGGAACTCTGGGAGTTGAAGTCCACAAGTCTTAAAGTTGCCAAGGTTGGAGACCCCCTGTTTTAGAAGCAGTCTTAAAAAGCAGGGGTATTCAACCTTAGCAATTTTAAAAATGGTAGACCTCAATCTCAGAATTTCTGGGGATTTCTGGGAGTTGAAGTCCACCAATTTTAAAGTTGCCGAAGCTGGACACCGCTGCATTAAAGATTGAAGAACAATGAGCCTAAGTCTAACCCTACTGAACACGGAGCTGTGTTGAACTACAACTTTTGTCATCCACATCCACACTCACTGGTGTGAATGATAGAAGTTGTAGTCAGGCACATCTGGAGGCTGAGTAATGTTACGCTTAGGCTGACCGCTAAGCATAATCTTAGCGCCTGCCAGATGGAGTTGTAGTTTAACTCTATCTGGAGGGCAGTTGATAAAAGGCTCGTGTAATGAATCAAGCTTTATCTTTGGTTTGATTCAAGAACTGAAGCAGAAAAGAAATACTTGACTTGTGAGATTACAGTTATTTATGAACTTATTGAGTCAAGTATCGTTCTCTCTAATGTTTTTTTTTTCCCAAAGTACACAGATTCCCAAAAGAATGCCTCATAGCCACTTCTGAAGCTCTGGACCCGATGTCAGAATTGAGTGGCGTTTTCTGTATCCTGCAGCCGTAGATAAAAAAAGGGACTGATCTTAAAACCGCTGCCTGTTAAAAGGATTCTGCCGTTTCCAAGGGTACAGTTGGCCAAGGACAGAGCGTAGTCAATTGTCAGAGCGTTTTGAGATTTATGATACTTTTAATCTGGAGATGTTAAAAGGGAGATGTTCATTTGAAAAGAAAAGAAAAAAATCAAATCACCAGCTCCACACAAGCTGCCGTAAAAACCCTTGTGATTCTGAATGGAGGGCCAATCTGCGGAAATAAGCTTGGGATGTTTTCACTGCCACTCTTCCCAACCTGTCTCCGCTATAATATTCTGCACTAATAGTAACGCAAGGGTAGGAGAATTAGGAATATATTTTCGAAGGTCTGATATGAAGGATGATGCATCCAAGGTTAAATTACTACTGGGTAGGACGCGGTGGCTCAGTGGCTAAGGCGCTGAGCTTGTCGATCGAAAGGTCTGCAGTTCAGCAGTTCGAATCCCTAGCGCCGCATAATGGGGTGAGCTCCCGTTACTTGTACCAGCTTCTGCCAACCTAGCAGTTTGAAAGCAGGTAAAAAGTGCAAGTAGAAAAATAGGGACCACCTTTGGCGGGAAGGTAACAGCGTTCCGTGTGCCTTTGGCGTTGAGTCATGCAGGACACATGACCACGGAGACGTCTTCGGACAGCGCTGGCTCCTCGGCTTTGAAACGGAGATGAGCAGCACCCCCTAGAATCGGGAACGACTAGCACATATGTGTGAGGGGAACCTTTACCTTTTAAGAGTGATATATAGAAGAGAGAAATGTTATATCTGCCCTCACAGAGTTGCTTTCTACTCCCTACCTGTGCTCTGAGAACATAAAAGTAAATCCGCCTCCAGGTACTTACAGTGTGTAAACATGAGTTTCTGTCTGATGTTTTTTTTTTTAAACTGGGTGCCCAGACTGTCATTGCTCCCCCCCCCCCCCCCCCTTCTGTTGTTTGCCTAAAGCAGCTAAAGAAAGCAGAAGGATAGAAATGGAACAAATGCAGCAAATTGCATAATGTGGAAAGGACCTCTTTTTCTGCAAGCAGGATTTGATATTCCGGTCTGCATCTGGACTTAGAACTCCCAAAATAGACGAAATGAGCTCTTGCGCCTGGAGAAGAAGAGAAATTTTTGGCTGCTGCCTCCGTGTATACAACTCTGTGTGTTTTTTGTATTAAACCTTCCCTTTCCATAAATTGTTCTCTTTTCGGTGCTTCGCTATGGGAACAGTTTTAAGTCTTCCCTTCTGTCGAGCAAGTGGGCTTCCCAGACAGCTTTTGTGTTGTGCGCTGAGAAGCTGGCAACCCTTAAAACAGTCTCACTTTTTTCCCCCCCAGTCTCAGACTCTTCCCTTTCCTTCTTCCCTCCTCCCATTTTCCCTTCGGCTCTGCTGACATTACATCGATGGATGTGCTTGAAAGGAAAACAGCAGAGAGAGAGTTGAATGTCTGCCAGACTCTTTTGCTGCTGTCCCTTCTCTTTTTTCCCCCCAGGTCTTCAGTTGTGTACATTTATTTCTTTCCTCGCTGTCTCCAGATTTCTTTGCTGCCTATGTATATCACCAGGGATATCTTACACCCCTTCCTATAGTAGTTGATTCAAAAGATTAGTCTTCCCCCCCCCTGGCTTCCTTGCCTACTCTCTGTAATTACACGTATTCTAACTGCATTCAGTACACTTTCTTTCGGAAGGTACTGGTGTTGATTGCACTTGTAAAACTGTTAGTTTATTATTCGGTGACTCCCTTAGAGGAAAGCTTTTACACTCTCAAAAATGTTTTTCTTACCCTCTGCTGTAGAGCCTTTCCCTATTTGTCCTTCGTAGTTGCTCATTTGTTGCTTAGCTAACCAGAAGAGATGAGAAAAGAGTCAGGTGAGGTGGAAAGGATCTGTAAGTGGTTAGAGTCCTTCCTTCCTGGCTGTACGATGATGCAGCCCCTTGCATCTTTTAAACATTTCATTCTGACCTTCCTGTATATTTAGCTTGGTGAAATGCGCCCCAGGCATCAGATTTAACACCTACAAGAAGGGGAGAGAGATTTAGTTTGAATCAAGCCTGATTAGTTTCACTCTTCGTCAGTATCTTTGTTAGAAATCCATCGATGTTAGTTGGATGGGTTGTGTTGAGATCTTGGATTCCACATAACTGAGACTCAGGAAAGGGGGTGAACGTCTAAAACCAGCACACAGGCATCTCAATAATACTGTCCTAGTATTAAATAATAAGAATTGGTTTGGAGTTTTGTTTGTAGAATCAAAATCTCCAGCAAAAAATGGACATAGTGCATTCCATCTCTACTTTGCAGCTAAAATTTCTTTTTTAAGGAACCATCCTCCTTTTCAGATGACTTCCTGATCAACCCAGCTACACTGGGGCAAGATATATTGCTGATAATGTCAAGAGACTGATTGATATGGCTGATGTCAAGTGCTAAGAGCATATGATTTATAGCAAACCAGAGAAATAAGTCTTTCCCATCATTTTATTGCTTCAATTTTGTTGAAACAGCATTTTATTATTTCCCATCCTCAGTAAACTTGAAATTACAAGGTGACCCAATTAGTAAGCATGGGAACAATCTGTGTCATATACACAGTAGCCTCCTCGAATTACAACAGCTCATTTAGTGACTGTTCAAAGTTACGATGACACTGAAAAAAGTGACTTAATGAATGTTTTTCATACTGATGACCGTTGCAACATCCCCATGGACACGTGATCAAAATCCAGTCGTTTGGCCACTGACTCACATTTATGACAGATGCAGGGTCATGTGATCCACCTTTTCCGACCTTTTAACCAGCAAAGAAGGCAGATACACTTAACAGCCACGTTACTAACTTAACCTGCGATGGTTCACTTAACAATTGTGGCAAGAAAGGTCATAAAATGGGGGGGCAAGACCCACTTAGCAAATGTTTCACTTAGCGGCATAAATTCTCGGCTCAGCTCAACTGTGGTCGTTTTAAGTCGAGGACCGCCTGTATAACGATCCTTGACAGAAATATTGACTGACTTTGTCTTCTCCAACCACTGACTTGAATCCTGGCTGGATCATGTGGGCCTAAAAGAAGCATCCTATTGTTCAGCCAGCTTCTCCTTTTGGGCCAAGGTGCCAATAACACTTTTCCCCCCCTTACGTTTTCTCCTGCCAGAGTGATTTGGACCTAGCTTCCTTTAAATTCTGTGTTCATTGTTAGGTATTTTGACTTTGAACGGGAGAAGCAGTGAAGCAGTCCTAGACCCCCACATTCTTCCATCTCTCACCTGATGTGAAAGTCAGGCTTCTTTGCCGTGGCATCTTTATACAGTATTTTGCAAACATGCTAATTAATGAAAGCTTGTGTTCTCCTTCTCTCTCCTCTCTCCTCTCCCTCCCTCCCCTTGCAGCCAGTTGCTGAACCAATCCCAATCTGCAGTTTCTGCCTTGGTACAAAAGAACAAAACCGAGAAAAGAAACCCGAGGAGCTCATCTCTTGTGCTGATTGCGGCAATAGCGGTAGGTGACTTTCCGTGTAAAATTTTTGGGACACTAAGGTTGGTTGGCGCCGGTGGTGATCCATCTGTTCATCTGGTTGGAAACACACACACACACACCCCGCATTTGGTCTTTGTACTACCGTAGGCCTGATTGCAAGTAAATATTTTCTAGAGGTAAATGTGAATAATTACAACGTCCTCGCACTGTCCTAAGGCTCTCGTCTGCATTGATTGCTAGGCGATTCTATATCGGTTGAGGGAAAGGCCCAGAGGTTCAGCCCTTGTTTAGCTGCAGTAATTCCCAGCTACTCGGGGGTTTCCATTTGAGTTTCAATGGAGATCGTGCACGACTCTGTCAGTGGGCGCTGTTTTAAACCAGGTGCTCCCCCTTCGTCCTTGTTGCTCAGGGAATAGGAATAGGAAAGGAAAGGATAGGATAGGATAGGATAGGATAGGATAGGATAGGATAGGATAGGATAGGATAGGATAGGATAGGATAGGATAGGATAGAATAGAATAGAATAGAATAGAATAGAATAGAATAGAATAGAATAGAATAGAATAGAATCTTTATTGGCCAATCAAATTTCATAGAAGTCTAGCAGTTAGAGCTGATATAACACAGCTATTTTTGTTCTTACTAGTAGTCCTTGACATATGGCCCTTCATTCACGGACTGGGCACCAAACGAATGGTAGTTAGGACTGGTCCTCATAGTTCCTTCCGTCTCAGCATTCTCACAGTCAGGTGATCTGGGTGCTTGTCAGTCAGCTCACACACTGGGCTGCTTGTGAACACCTGAACCCTGTTTGCAACCTTTCCCTGCCAGCTTCTCCAAAAAGTCAACGGGGAAACTTTTGGCAGGGAAAGGTTTACAAGTTGCTGGGGAAAGATCTTTTTCCACACCCACGCAACCTCTCCTGGCCCTCTGCTCCTGCCATGCTGGCCACTTATGTAAACCCCCCCCCCCCCAAATGCACTCTCCATAATCCACATCTCTTGACAGGTTCTGGAGAACCGGTAGCGGAAATTTTGAGCAGTTTGGAGAATCTGCAAATACCACCTATGGCTGGCCCCAGAGTGGGGAGGAAATGGGGATTTTTCCGTATCCTTCCCTTGCCCCGCCCACCAAGCCGGTAGTAAAAAAAATTGAATTTCACCACTGGGAAGTGGGATTAACTTTAGCCAGAAGCTGAGAAAAAGGAACCACAATCTAGCATCCAGAGAAACCATGCCTATTTCGGCGTGTAGGATGGCATTTTTAATAAATGTCGGTACCATCAGTGTGGCTCCAGTGCATTTATTTCGGATGGTTTCAATAACATTAAGCTTTGCAAAAGAGCCAATTTGGGAGCCATAAAGAAGCCGAGGGACTCCTTGAGCTTGGAAGACCTTTGAGGCTGCAGGATTATAACGGGCTCCTTTCAGATGGTAAAATCTTACAGTAGCTAGAGAGGTACTCTTTGCAACATTGCCTGATAAGAAAAACGAACAAGTCAGGAAAAGGAAGCATGAAATTGCACTCCAGGGTATTTATAGGTGCACACCTGTTCGGTTGGCGTCCCATTTATTTGCCATTTATAAATTTTACAACATCGGGCAAAAACTTCTGGTTTTCCGACCATTTATTGATAGATATTGTTCTATGCAAAATAAAACAGATGCTTTTCCCATTCTTACCTGTGAAGTAGACATACCGTATTTTTCAGAGTATAAGACGCACCTACCTTTTTTGGTGAGGAAAAGAAGAAAAAGAAATCTCCCTCTGCCTCTGAGCAATTTTGCCTCCTTGCAGCAAACAGCCTGCTTTACTTTCATTTTCGTTTTCAGCATAGCTTGATTAGCACAAGGAAAAAGAAAATCTGCTCCCAGCAATTTACCTCCTTGCAGCAAGCAGCAGAGCCCTGCGCAAAACAGCTGAGAGGAAATCAGCTGAGAGTCGGGAAGCCGATCCAATCAACTTGTGCTAATTAGGATGTGCTGAAGCTAAAAGGAGCTGTTTCTTCTTGCTATTTGCTTGCAAGGAGGTCACTGCTGTGAAGCAGAGGCCAAAGGGTGGGGGCCAGTGGGTGGGTGGGGCTACATTTGGTGTATAAGACGCACCTAAATTTTCATCCCCTTTTAGGGCGAAAAAGGTGCGTCTTATACTCTGAAAAATACGGTAATAACGACATCATCACCATACAGTATAGTGCTGAAATCTCACCATCAGCCAGAATGGATGGATGATGATGGGCTAAAACAACAAGTGCTTGGATTACAGGTAGTCCTCAATTTACAACAGTCCACTTATTGACTGTGTCGAAGTAACACCTGCCCTGAAAAAAGTGACTTGTGACCATTTTTCTCACTTAATGACCATTGGCAGCATTCCCCAGAGTCACGTGATCAAAATATAGATGCTTGGCGACTGATTCATATTTATGACAATTCAAGCGTCCTGGGATCATGTGATCCTCTTTTTCGGACAAGCAAAGTCAATGGGGAAGCCAGATTCACTTTACAGCCATGTTGCTAATTTAACAGCTGCAGTGATTCATTCAACAACCATGGCAGGAAAGATCGTAAAATGGGACAAAATTCATTTAACAACTGCCACGCTTAACAACAAATTTTGTGCTCAGTTGTGGTCTGTATTGAATTTAGATATATATTTATAGCAAAAACAAAATATGTGGCTTCCTTATAACAGGTGACAGATCTTTCCATTACGAGCAGTATTTTTAGTGCCAGGCGGCGTTTCTTTGTGCAGAAATGCTATGCAGATGAAAATACAGATAAATTTAACAATTGTTGTATGAATGGTACTTTAAAATCATGTGTGAATCACGGACATGTTGAAATCAATTTTGGGTTCAGCCAGCCACAAAAATCTTTTAGGATTAAAGTTTTCCTCATGAAACTGAAATAAAGTTCTTAGGCAAAAAAAATAACCATTTCCTTTTGAAAACACAGCCTGCGAAGTGTCGAAAATGTGTTTTGAACTCTTTTGACAAACCAGGAGTCTTCTCCGGAAGTCAAGAGTGAACTGCGTTAGAACTTGTAACCTTACTTTTACTAAATATTGCTTTTTTTTTTCCCCCTTGGCATCATGGAAATTACTCTCGTATCCTTGGTACATATAGGTCATCCATCCTGCTTGAAATTCTCCCCAGAATTAACCGTTCGGGTGAAGGCCTTACGATGGCAGTGCATTGAGTGCAAAACCTGCAGTTCCTGTCGAGACCAGGGCAAAAATGCTGTGAGTATCTGAGCTGAAGGTTTATCTGCTGGGTCAGTGCTCTGGAAGTTATATCAGATAGCAATAGCACTTAGACTCATATACCGCTTCACAGTGCTTTACAGCCCCTCTCTAAGCAATTTACAGAGTCAGTCTATCGCTCCCAACAATCCGGGTCCTCATTTTACCCACCTCGGAAGGATGGAAGGCTGAGTCAACCTTGAGCCGGTCAGGATCAAACTCCTGGCAGTGGGCAGAGTTTGCCTGCAATACTGCACTCCAACCAGTGCACCACCACGGCTCCTGAGATGATCTTGGTCTGGATAAAACTTGGAGTAATCTCTTTTGCAGACTTCGTCTGGTTTGCACTTGCACTCTGCGATTTGATTCGGCAACAATCACGTATATCTTTGTAACATCCAAGTTAGAGCACTTTAAAGATACATTGGGACTATTTGGAAACTACAGCTGGCACAAAGTGTGATGGGAGTCCAGCTGGAACTTACTGCAGGAAACCGTTCTAACAATGGTTTTACTCCCAGCATGTTTCTGGACCTAATCCAGAGTTCTGAGGTTACTTTTTAATGCTCCGAAGGGCCTTATAGTCTGTGAAGTACTATATTCCCTGTGGGCCTGACCATTTTCTAAAATCATCAAATGCAAGGGATGCTTTGTGTCATTCTGCGGCTAATGTTAGATAGGTTGGTTTGTACGAGAGCATTTTTGTGGCCCTTGTACTTAGTGATCTTTTTAATCTTTCCTTCCCAAAGCATATAGCGAAGAAGCCTGGCTGATTTAACTTATGTTTATGTTTATTTATGTAAACATTAGTTAAAATGTGTTTTTTTTTAAAAATAGAAAAAGAGAACACAAATATGTGAAAATAAAAGTTGACATTTTAAAAAGAGCAGTAACAAAATATTTCCTCTCATGCTTGTTGGTTTAATATGTTACTTGTCACAATAGTGACAAATTTATTTAAAAGTTAATTTAATACATAATCTTTCCAAAATCGTGACAATCTAATCAGTAACAAAATGACAATAAATCAGTAAAACAATCACACTGGAACGTGAACAGGAAGGATTTATAACTTTCAACTACTACAGACAGAAGTCAGCTTTGAATGAAAAAAAAATGGCAAAACCAGTTTTACATGTGGCTGTCTGGTTGAATGTGGTTTTTCATAAGGTTTCGTACAGAAGGTAGCCTTTGTGGTTCTTCTAACTTTAGAATATGAGCAAGGCATATGAAATAAGTTATTTGTCAGAGGGGCGGTGACAATTATGAAGAAGACATTCTCTTAATTCATTAATTGAGCCAATTTGGTCTAGTTGTTAAGTCACCAGCTTGGGAAGTACAAGACCATGATTTTCAAGTTCCACCTTAGGAATGAAAGCTGGCTGATGACTTTGGGCTGGTCACTCTCTCTCTCTCTCTCAGCCCAACCCACCTCACAGAATTGTTGTTGTTGGAAAATAGGAGGAGGAAAGCGTGTTGGGTACGTTTGCCACCTTGAGTTATTTGTAAAAATAATAAATGTATTTGGGCTACAAATAAAACAAATAAATTGGTTACAGAAGGTAGATTTATATCCTGCCCTTCTTCTTAAGAGTGCAAAGTAGCACGTTCCACCACCAGTTTTATCCCCACAACAGTCCTGGGAATAGGTTAGTGGTTCCCAACCTTTTCTTCACCACAGACCCCCTTTAAATACCTTTTGTGGCCATGGACCCCCAAGATTTAAGATTAAAATCACATTTCTTCAAGCCTTTGCAGCCCCCCTGTGATGACATCCACCCCCCCCCCCCCCCCCGGAGTCCACAGACCATAGGTTGAGAACTATTGGGTTAGACTGAGAGAAGGTAATGGGTCCAGAGTTATCTGGTGAACTTTCGTGGCTGGAGAATGGCCTCGAAGTTGCTATAACCGCTATATCACAGTGGCCCCCTTAGGTATTCTGAACCGCGGCCAAAAGCGTTGATGGCCTCCATGTTGGAACTCTCTGAGTATGCAAATACAAGGCATTAACCAGAAACATCTGTGCCTTTACAGGATAATATGCTCTTTTGTGACTCGTGTGATCGGGGCTTTCATATGGAGTGTTGTGATCCCCCTTTGACCAGGATGCCAAAAGGTGAGGAGGGGTGGGTGGGCTGAAAAATGACACAAGAAGGAGTGATAAAGTTTTTCAGATTACGTGGAAAATCTTGAGCACGCAGGATAGAATTCATAGGCAGAACAATTTACACATTTGCGCTCCAGTGCCAGAAAAGAAACTGCTTTACGATAAAGGAGCTAAGAAAATGAACAGCGAGACTAGATTTTCTTCCCTGCTTTTTAACGTATATGTGAAGCTGCTGGGAGATGTCATTCAGTGGTTCAGGGCGTGGTGGTATCATCAATACCCTTGTCTGGTGTCCTAGGGATTGCCAGGACTTGGATGGGAGAGTAAATCTCAGTAAATTTGAGTTGTGAATACACTGGAGTTTTCCATCACCGCCTCAAGCATTCCCACATCAAGGTTCATGATGTGGGAATCCTTCTGGATTCACAGCTCGTGATGGAACAGCAGGTGGATATCATGGCTAGAAGGTTCCTAACTTCAGCTGGTGCTTCAGTTGCAACTCTACCTCAGGCACAATGAACCAGGGGCACTCATTCTCATGCTTATCGCCATCTAGCTAGACTTCCATAATGTGCTCTATTTGTGGTCGCCCTTAAAAACTACTCCAAGATTACAGTTGACCCAAAATGCACCAGCTTGCATACTTTTTGTCTTCTGTTGTTGGAAGTATGTATATAACACTGGTTTGTGAACCTTGCATTGGTTGCCAATTGGTTTCCAGGTACAACTGAAGGTGCTTCTTTTTAAAGCCATTTATGGTTCAGTTACTAGATAGCTGCAGGACTACCTACTCTTAACGAGTATTGGCCTAATTGATGAGGTCTAATAGGGAGAATCTATTACCGACTCTTCATTTTCGGAAGATCCAGATAACTAAAGGGAGGAGGCCGTGCTGTGTGATGGCAGCACTGATGCTGTGGAACAGCCTCACGATTGAGATCAGGTTAGCTCAACCCCCCCCCTTGAAAGCATTTTAAACTGGCCCAAAGGTGCTTTTTCAAGAGGCAGCTGGACTTTCTGGTTTTTCTATGAAGGCGTTTCACTTCTCATCCAAGAAGCTTCTTCAGCTCTGAAGAAGATAAGGTTCTTCTCTAAGAATTTTAAGATGGGTGGACTTTTAACTCCCAGAATTCCCAGATGATGGGGAATGGAAGGAAGAAGCGAAACGTCTTCCAAGAAATACCAGAAAGTCCAGTTGCCTCTTGAAAAAAGCACCTCTGGGACAAGCATGACCTGGATGACTGAGAATCTGACTTTGACTTTGTATAAATATACAAAAGTATGAAGGCTATTGCTTAACGCATTGTAAGCCGCCCTGAGTCTCTGGAGAAGGGCGGCATATAAATCAAATTTTTTTTTAAAAAAAATCTCCATAGATATTTAAAAACCGAGTTTCCCAATAAAATTCTGTTATTTATTTATTTATTGGTTCTATTTATATGCTGCCCTTCTCCGGAGACTCAGGGCGGCTTACAATGCGTTAAGCAATAGCCTTCATACTTTTGTATATACCTGCTTAGTAGGGCTTTCGGCCCCCCCTAAGTGGTGTTCTTTTTTATACAAAGTCAGCTTATTGCCCCCACAAACTGGGTCCTCATTTTACCTACCTCGAAAGGATGGAAGGCTGAGTCAACCTTGAGCCTGGTGAGATTCGAACTTGCAGTAATTGCAGGCAGCTGGTGTTACTTAACAGCACTTTAGTCTGCTGCGCCACCAAGGCTCTTATTGATTTTAGTACGCCATCTTCATTTTCTACATTTATTCTTGGTATTTTTCTGTTTGGGTGGTGACATTTTTACTGTTTTTAGAATTGCTATCCTGTCCAGTTTTACTCAGCTTTTATATTTTGTGCGAGAATCTCCGGATAGAAGATAGAAATGTGGGACACAAACAAACAATCAGGACTGTGATGCTCTTATATGACAATGAGGTTTGTCTCTTACAGGCATGTGGATATGTCAGATATGTCGACCACGTAAAAAAGGAAGAAAACTACTCCAAAAGAAGGCAGCACAGATTAAGCGGCGTTATGCCAACCCAATAGGACGTCCCAAAAATAGATTAAAGAACCAAAATGCAACGTAAGTACACTGAGGCTTGGAGTGTGATCGAGATTGAAGCAATTTTGCTGTTGGAGATGTCCCTTTTTTTGCAAATTTAAACGCCAAGTGACTTAGTAACTACTTTGGAAGAGGTTTTAATTTTAAATAGATTTCCCTTTGAACATTTGTTTTTTGATTCACTCAATTCTTTAATATTCAGACTTAACATTGTTTTGGTTTCAACATTTATTTCCATTTCTAGCTCTGGAGTTTGCCAAATGAAGAATCGGGGAGAGTTAGGTGGGAAACACTTTTACAGGAAGGCACCATGCAATATTGATATTTCTTAATTCTGTCTTCTAAAAGAACACCGCTGCAAAAGATGGATTTTGCAGAAGAGCTACCCTTAGGTTAAAAATCCTTCAGGGAGTTCGGATTTCAATTTGATTTAGAGCCCTTAGCGAGCTTTGATTCTTAGGAAAAATGTATGTTGAACATACATTTAATTATAGCAACTTTTGAGTTAGGGATGTCCATTAAATATTTTATTTTTTATTTTGAGCTTCTAACGGAACAGTCCCACTTGAAACATTCCATTAGACTATTTTATTAGAATAGCAAAGCTGGCCTATGTTCTGCTGGAAGAAATCTTGGAAAAAACATTCATATTTTGTTTTAAGCTTGGAATATTACCAGTCCTCGACTTATTACCACAATTGAGCCCAAACTTTCTGTTGCTAAGGGAGACATTTGTTAAGTGAGTTTTGCTCCATTTAACACTTTCTTTCTTGCCACAGTTCTTAAGTGAATCACTGCAATTGTTAAATTAGTAACATGGTTGTTAAGTGAATCTGGCTTCCCCGTTGTCAGACAGTCGCACTGGGGCACTGCAACCATCATAAACTATTTTCTGCACCCCTGGTTTTTTTTGAGGATATGGATGTTTTCTATATTGCATCCCTTTCTAGCCCCCCCTCCCTTTCAGAACAGAGAACAGTTCTACTAAGATATTGAACTCATTAAAGAAGACCATTTTCTTTCCTGTGGCCGTATTATCTCCCAGAAGTTCAGAATTGTTCCCGCAACAATGAAATCTTTGTTCATCATTTCATTTGAATGATTAAGATGCTTGTCAGTTAATCCAATTTAAAAAAACTGGGAAGTGATGTAAAAAATAAACATTCATTCAGGGATGTGCAAAACAGGGACACGTCACTGTTCCAAAATACATGCAGAATATTGCATACCTATTCTTATTCTGGCATAGGGACACAGTGGCTCAGTGGCTAAGACGCTAAGCTTGTCGATTGAAAGGTTGGCAGTTCAGCGGTTCGAATCCCCGTAATGGGGTGAGCTCCCGTTACTGGTCCCAGCTTCTGCCAACCTAGCAGGTAAAAAATGCAAGTAGAAAAAATAGAGACCACCTTTGGTGGGAAGGTAACAGTGTTCCATGTGCCTTTGGCATTTAATCATGCCGGCCACAGGACCACGGAGACGTCTTCGGATAGTGCTGGCTCTTCAGTTTTGAAACAGAGATGTGCACCGCCCCCTAGAGTCGGGAACGACTAGCACATATATGCGAGGGGAATCTTTACCTTTACCTTTTATTCTTATTCTTGAAGATTTACTTCTGGAAAACAGAAGAGCTGGATTGGGACATTCTGGGATATACTGGGATATTCCATCCTTGAATTTTTAGTTTTGCCTACAACTAAAACCACTGTTTCTGAACCCTTTTTATTAGATCCTAAGATTCTGGCTCATAGAAAGGCAAAGGAGTCCCTGCACATTTTGCTCTGCTAGTCATTGCTCATCTCCATTTCTTGCTCATAAACACATATTTTTAATATTTTCCCAAAAACGGAAGAGTGCAACATTTGCAATGGTTGTTGTATTTTACGTTTATGCAAAAGAGTCCCGAGAAATCTGCACCAGGTGCCATTTTCCACAGTAACATGAAAGTAATTTCTCACACACACACACTGTATTTTTCGCACCTGTCTATAAGGCGCACCTAAATTTAGAAGAGGAAAACAAAAAACCGTTTTTGGCCTTGTGCGCCCCATTTTCAGCCCATTTTCGGGCCTTTTTTCGGTTTGTTTTCTAGGGTTTTTTCGGTCCATTTTTGAGGCTTTTTTCAGCCCGTTTCTTGAGGCTTTTATTGGCCCATTTTTTCCAAAAAAAAAAAAAAAAGCAGGCTGAAGAAAGCCTTGAAAATGGGCTGAAAAAAGCCTTGAAAATGGGCAGAAAAAAGCCTCCAAAACGGACTGAAAAAAGCCCTGAAAATGGGCAGAAAAAAGGCTTGAAAATGGCCGAAAAAAGGCCCAAAAGCAGGTCGTGCGGAGGCCAAAAAACAGCCAGTGTGTGGGTGGGGCCTCGGCAATATTCGGTCTATAAGATGCACAGACATTTTCAGCCCCTTTTGGGAGACAAAAAAGTATGTCTTATAGTCCAAAAAATACTGTATATACTGTGAATTAACTACCGTTTGCAAGCTTGGTTGATGCTTCCCTGTCTTCTTTCTGATAGCTAACTTCCTTTCTTTTCCTCTCCCATTATTTGTTCAGATCAAAAGCTCCCTTCAGCAAAGTTCAGACGGGACCCGGCCGGGGTCGCAAGCGCAAGACCCCCTTATCCAGTCAGTCGACTTGCTCATCAGATGGGGGTTACTTGGAGCAAGTCGACGGTCTGGAATTCTGCGGCGACGCGAGCATCACCTTGAAATTCAACAAGAAAACCAAAGGGCTTATCGATGGCCTTACCAAATTCTTCACCCCGTCCCCCGATGGGCGTAAAGCTCGAGGAGAAGTCGTGGACTACTCTCAGCAATATAGGATCAGGAGAAAGGACAATAGGAAATCAAGCGCTTCAGATTGGCCCACAGGTAGCGAAGAGAGATTGACTATCTGTTTTATGGAGCTCGGAGGTTATCAAGGTGAACGGCTATAAAGAAACTGCGATAACCACGTTTGAAAGGCTGTCCATTAGAAATAACCTGTCGTATTATCATAGGAAGATCAGAGCAAATCGTTATCTTGATTTATTGCTGCAATTTATTGTTTTAGTCAATAATACTCTAAAGCGCATTGGAACCTAGTTGGAATTACCCTGTCTTTTAACTAGAGGCTTTTGTCATAAATCAAGAGAAAGGGCACAGGGCTGTTTTGAGGACGGGTTTTGTCAGGGTTTGTTGCAGCACACACAATCAGACACAATTAAGTGAACTTTCAGGAGGATTCAAACTGCATAAGAATATATACAATACCATACAGCAGAATTCAGCATACAATATCAGGAACACAGAAGCAATATTCATAGAAGCAAGTCATTACAGAGTAGACAGATAACAGAGGCTAATACAGCGATGAAATGCAGCCGGTTCTATCCGGCTTGGGCAAACCGGTAGCGCCGGCAGTGGGAGGCTCCGCCCACCTGCACGGATGTCATCACGTCCGTTTTTGACCCTCCGCACATACGCAGAAGGCTCTGAACATGCGTTGCGGAAGCGTGCATGCTCACACTAGCAAAGGTTAATGGATTTCACCCCTGGGCTAATATATTGCACAGAGGCTCTCATTACAGAGGCCAAACCAACTCTTATATACACTTCAAGTCCAAGCGACGCCCAGACTCCAAACTGTCTCTTATGGCCCCATACAAACAAATACTAGGTTTCCGTTTCCAAACAGCCCTCATTGGCTGATCCAGTTGCCATGTCCTATTCCAGTTCATGAATATACTCTTAACAGGTTTTGGGTGGATGTAAAAGGAAGAAAAGCACTCTCTGGTAACCGAGAAGACTTTTCTTCTCTTTCCAAAATTAAGCAGGTTGTGATTGTCTTGTTAGAAGGCAAGGAAAGGCACAGGTAGCATTTCTTAATTAGCAAATTACTTTGCTTGCTGTTTCAATTGTCGATAATCCATCAAGGAATTCTAAATGTTCTGTTTTCAGACAATCAGGATGGCTGGGATGGAAAACAAGAAAATGAAGAGTGGCTTCTAGGAGGCCCAGATGTCATGGCCGAGAAAGATATGGAGTTGTTCAGAGACATTCAGGAGCAAGCGCTGCAGGTAAAGTCAAGTCAACTTAGCACTTAGCAATAGCACTTAGACTTATATATTGCTTCACAGTGCTTTACAGCCCTCTCTAAGCAGTTTACAGAGTCAGCACATTCCCCCACAAAATCTGGGTCAGTGGTGGGATCCTACCGGTTTAACAACCAGTTTGGTGATTGCACACTTCGCTACGTGTGCGTGCGTGCACAATTGAACGAAAAATCATCTTCTGTGTTAGTGCCAGGGAATTAAAACAGCTGAAGCACGGCAATCCGCTCTGCCGTGCTAATCAGCTGCAAAGATGTAGGTAAGTAAAGTGCAGGGGTGGGTGGGTGGGTGGGCCCAGCTGATCGTCGGAGTTACCGGCTCGCCCGAACCGGTCCGAACCGGTAGAATCCCACCCCTGATCTGGGTCCTCATTTTACCGACCTCAGAAGGATGGAAGGCTGCGTCAACCTTGAGCCGGTGAGAATTGAACTGCTGAACTGCCGGCAATCAGCAGAAGTAGCCTGCAGTACTGCATTGTAACCACTGCACCGTAACAGCTCATCAACTTCCGTCCAACGTCTTCACAGCCAAAGCAGTTCACCAAGAAAGAAGGTTTTACTGCCGTCCAGGAAATTGAAAGAGATCATTTTCACAACATTTTCTGAATATCAGACCACTGATGCACAATGTATTAATTGTGATTTCAATGCAAGAAGGCAGACAGAGTTCCAGAGAAAACTTAGAAGACACTACGGCATGGCTCAGAAGCATGGGCCTGAGGATGCAACCACCTGCTGGTTTAGGAAGACCAAACTTGTGAACTTTCCATGCGAACGCGAAATAATAGTTTAGATTGTTGCAGAATTAATATGAAATTACCGTGTTTTTCCCGAAAATAAGACCCTGTCTTATATTTTTTTTGAACTCTGAATAAGCGCTTGGCCTTATTGCCATGCCCTCAAAAGCCTGATTGGGCTTATTATCAGGGGATGTCTTATTTTGGGGGGGGGGGAACAGGATACTACTGTAGGGTTGAGTACATTTTAACTGGGCACTTCCTTGTGGCTTCTCTTTTTGTCATGCACACTTAGTTGTGTGGGCGCTCCCTTGAGATCCTCTTACAGTTTGCTTGCTTTGTTACTTCTGAGTAGGAGGGAGAGTAATTCAGTAGAATGTTTGGCAGTCTCTAAAATGTTTTCATGTTTTTGGAACCCTTCTTCAATAGCCAGACATTATCCTCTTTTAATGAAGGCAGGATTGATCACATTGGAAAACTATGAGAGAGGGAGAAATTTGGGCTCCATTTACAGGTGAAGATTGGGAAGAGGGCTAAAAATTGTAGTGGCACAGTGGTTAGAATGCTGTATTGCAGGCTTACTCTGCATTCCAGCTGCCAGGAGTTCGATCCTGACTGGCTCAAGATTGACTCAGCCTTCCATCCTTCGGAGGTCAGTAAAATGAGGAGCCAGATTTTTGGGGGCAAGATGGTGACTCTGTAAACCGCTTAGAGAGGGGCTGGAAAGCACTGTGAAGCGGTATATAAGTCTAAGAGCTATTGCTAGTGCTATGGCTTATTTGGAACTTAACACAAAGGCGAAAAAGCATGCAAAAGTATGCAGACTTAAATGAACTGGTGAAACTTGCACTTCTCTCAACTTTACTAGCCAAAGAGCTGCTGCAAAATGAAGTACATATCCCTGTTAATGTATGACTGTCTTTCGAAACAAATTGTTTTAGCATGTATAGCCAGATAGAAGCGTGAAGGACTCACGGCGGAGCTAGTAAGAAAGCAAGTGTGTTTTTTCAGCCTTTAGGAAACATTACATCTATTGCTTCATGCTACAACTTTGCTAATTGGTTTGTTTTGGCAAGGACTGGGTTAAACGCAGCTGAGTAGCTGACGCAGTCCGTCTCTAGGTAGACCAGAGAGCCGCACCTGAGCAAAAGGGAATTCGCTCAGTAAAAATGCAAGGATGGCTGGCTGAATTATTGGGGAATCTGTCGGACAAGAAGAATCTGAAACCGTGCGCGTGGCCACTTTGGATATTGGCAGCTTTTGATGGAACTTGGGCCATCTGAAGGGGATTTGGGCTGTTGTGATGTGCAAACAGTTGTACTGGAACTGGGACTTCACCTTTATTTCGGATGTTCAGTTGGAGGAGAGTTTTGCGGCTGTCGGGAAGGGGCAAACTCACGAACTGTTATCACAGGTACAGTGAGCGGCGTTCCTCCTCGAAGCATCTCTGTGTACGATTAAAGAAATTCTGACGGCCCTCCCAAAATTAGAATAGTCTCAGTTTCCTTAGCAAGATTATAGATTTATATTCATTCTTATTGTTAAAAACAATTACGTATTTGCCACTCCTACTAGGAATGAAATGGCGATTGATTCAGTAGGGCCCAGAGGTGCTTTTTTAGGAGGCAACTGGACTTTATTGGTTTTTCTTTTTCTTTTTGAAGAAGTTTCGCTTCTCATCCAAGAAGCTTCTTCGGCTCTGACAGGATAGTGGGGAATGGAAGGATTTATATTCCTTGCATTCAGTAGGGCGTATTCTTACAGGATGTTATTCCACCGGCTAGTGTATTTGTTAGAGCACATGCCCTTGAGCAATTAATTGAAGGCAGATTGTAGAATTAAACTTTTTTTCTGATTTACCTGTTGTGTCCCCTCCCCGGCGAAATAAAGAGACTTTCTTAAACTGTGATGAAAACACATTATCTAGTTGGATTTGCTCTAACCCCTTAGATAAAGCAGTCAATCCCTCAGGCTTGAGACTCTTCGTAAAGAGAGCCCTGGGAATCAGTTGGTGAATTCTGGCAAAGAAATGACATTTGAAGGAACTGAATTTCCTCTGGTGTGCAATGCAGTACAGCGACAGAAAGCTTTTGTGGTGTAGTGTTGTGAATAGGTCTAGCAGGTTGTGTGCTGGTATAGCGGGTAAGTGTGAAAGCAAGGCAAGGTTTTGCAGAGGCCAGTGTTAAACCCATTGCTACGTGAAATAAAAGGGACGGTAAATAAGGCACATCTATAAATTCTCACGGATTTGCTTTGCCCTGAGGTTGGTATAGGAATATACAGATTGCTTTGTTGGTTAAGATCAAAGGTTTGTGAGCATAGCATGAGGGCAAGTAGCTAGCCATTTCTTGTTTTATCCTCAGTATATGGTGATCAGACTTGCTGGTCCTAAATACAGAAATTGTGTTTAGCTATTAAAACCCATCCTTATCTTGCATAAAATGTCATCCACACCTAAATTACATACCGTATTTTACGGAGTATAGGACGCACATTTCCCCCCCCAAAAAGAGGGTGAAAATCTGGGTGCGTCTTATACTCCGAATGTAGCCCCACCCAACTTCTCAAACGAAGGTTTCAGAGGCTGAAAAAAGCATCAGAAATGAAGCTTCAGAAAAAAAGCCCCCAAACAGAGCTTCAGAGGCTTTTTTTTGAAGCTCTGTTTTGGAAGCTTTCAGAACATAAAAAAAAAACAAAAAAAAAAAAAAAAAAGCAGCGAGGCACAGAGCTCACAACCAAGGAACCTGTTGCTAAAATTCACCTCTGGGAACAGCTGATTGGGGGTATTCCGGGTGGCCAATCCACCTGCCAATCAGCTTTTTTCTTATTTTCCCCAAAAACTAAGGTGCGTCTTATACTCTGAAAAATATGGTAATTTTCATTAAGTTCCAAAGTTTCATGTGCTGGGTTCTGAACATATCTCAGTTTAATAAACCGGGGTTTACTAGACTTCAACTGAATGTTGTAATCTCTCCACTCCTGCTTTATAATGGACGATTTGATGTAGGTTTTATGTAACTCTGTTTCCAGAGTTGGATGTGACATGATGCTGGTTAATGCCCTACATCAGTGGTCCCCAACCCCCGGTCCGCGGACCGGTGCCGGGCCGTGGAGTACCTGGCACCGGGCCGCGCAGCGGCCGGGGGACATGAACGCTGCAGCGCAAAGGCTCCTGGGCCGTGCGCAATGGGCCTGCGCAAAAGCTCCTGGGCCGTGGCCCCACCCCTGCGCGCGCTCAGCGGGCCGCGGCGATAAAAAGGTTGGGGACCACTGCCCTACATTACCAGCATCATGTCACATCCAACTCTGGAAATTTAGTTTAATCCTGGACTACAAATTTGGATAGGAAACTAGAGAATGAGCGAAGAGAAAACAAACTAAGTCATTGTTCTCTGTTGATTTACTAAAAAAGGAAAAGAAAAATAGAGCTGTTTATAAGTATTTTTAAACATTATAGAACTATTTTTTTTACACCATCAAATTATCGTTTGGAGGGAGATCAGCTCCAGTGGAGTAAAATTAGACCATTGTTAACCTAAACCTGAAAACACTTGCTTTTCATGGTCTTCTAAATGAATCCTGCCATCATTAAAATCATTGGTTGAAGGGCAGTCCTCAATCTTTGGGGACATAGTAATTGTGGCTTAAGCTAAAGAGAAAATAATTCACGGGACTGAAGTAAGAAAAGTAGAAGGAACCCCATGAGGCTTGCTTGCCTGATTAAAATGCTAAACAATGATTTGGCATGTCGCCGTGGTTCGGTTCAGTGCATGAGGATGGGGAAATCGTGTAGGCCCAACCCTTGTTCTTTTATCTAAACGTTTCAACATGTCCCTGTAATTCCTTAGAAAAGGGAACATAAAGGAAAACCAACCAGCAAGCAATGGCTTTACGGTGGAGTTTCATCTCTGCCTAAGCTGAATTAATTAATGCCCACTGAGGAGCCATCTGTACGGCCTTCCTGAACTGAAAAAAATAAAAAATAAAAATTGAGCAGGTACAGAGGGAAAGAAGGCAAGAGCTGGCTGTAATGTTTTTCGGGTGCGAGAACTGGACTTCTGAAAAGAATATATTTCGGCAGGATGGTGCCGCACTTGAAGCTCAGGTGCGGATATATAATGCTGATAGCAAGACATCTTAGTATCTAAGAAGTAGCAGCCGGAATAATAAGAGAGAGAGAGAGAGAGAGAGAGAGAGAGAGGGAGGGAGAGAGGGAGGGAGGGAGGGAGGGAGGGAGAGAGAGAGAGAAACGCCTGTCACTAGGAAAAGCTGTAAAACATTTATAGTCTTTATCGTTTAAAGTTCTTAGCACATGGGAGAAACTAAACAGGAAAGGATTAAAAGAGCCTAATGGGCATTTTCTCTTCACCTTTCTGCCTCTGCATGTTAGGGCAATTTGCAAGATATTCCCACCTCTCCTTGAGTGAAAAGAGGTAGTAGGTAGAGAGGAGAAAGAAAGGAGACCTCTGTTTTACAGAGAAGTAAAACTGTAAGTAACAATTAAGGCCAAAATTATGTTGATCACTTGAAAGGCAGAGGCATGATTCCCCCACCCCCACCCCCGAGCACTTAAACTTTTATGACCTCCAGTCTTCCTGCAGAAAATCCCCGTCTCTCCCCCCCTCCCCAAAAAGGAAGTTGTTTCCTTTGCAGTTCCCTTTACGGTTCTTGGAGTTCCTAACTTTGTTTTTACTGTCACAAATAGCATGTGTAGAGAGAAGTTTTCCTTTGACCTCTGTTTAAAAGTCGTATCTATCTAAGTTGATAATACAGATTTTTTTTTTTCATATTTGCGAATAAAGAACGTACAACATCTCCCTTAGAGGCCTAAACTCAACGAATAGCTCTTAAATTTAACTCAATATGAACACTAAGCTATTTATTATAACTTAAACCTATTATAGCTTAAACTTATTATGCCCTTAATATACAGTTTTCCTTCTTCACTTTATTTGCCCTGAATTGCAAGATGGATGGCATGCAGATTTAACAAATAAATAAAATAAATATAAATAAATAAATACAATCCCAAGGCATTTATTTCCTTAGAACGATAAGGGGAATTTAATTTCCTTACGATCATTGCCTGGGTCATTACAATAACAGAAATTTCTAGAAATATGAACTGTTTTCTTTTTTTATTGTCTCCATTTTTTGGCATTGGTGGAAATTGATGTTCACATAAACTTGTTGCATTTTTAAACTAGATTCCCAGAGCCGTGGAGTAAAATTGAGAGGGTTAAATTTGTTTATTTCTTTTTACAGAAAGTAGGAGTGACGGGGGCACATGACCCCCAAGTCCGCTGCCCATCAGTCATTGAGTTTGGAAAATATGAAATCCACACCTGGTATTCTTCTCCATATCCACAAGAATATTCCAGGTACGAAGCACCTTTTATGATGTGCAGTGTGTTGCCCGAAGTAATTTTTTGCCATCGCTGGAAATAAAATGGCAGCTATTACGTATTTATCCGATACACACATGTATTTAAGCTCTTGCCCGCCCCTAAAAACAGGGTGGCATGTCAGATGGAGAAAGGAAATGGTAGCCAGCAGTGTAATAAGCATAAGAAAGATGCAGATAAAGAAATAAAGATGCAGATAAAATGTTGGAGGGTAAAGTAAAGAATATGTTGGCTGATTTTACAACAATCTGTTTCCTAAATTCATTTTTCAAAAGAGCTTTGAATACTTTTAATAGACACTTATATGAGAGAGTATATTTGAGTGTGGTTCTTGGTGCATAGTTAAATTAGTAGGTTTGGTAGTATCCAATATTGAACCTCTGGTTACTTTCCTGTAACCTTTTTGCACTGCTCACTTTTGAGCTTGGAAAATACACTCCCTACCTTTATCTGCTTCTGATGGATATACAGGTAGTATGTTGACTTACAACCATAATTGAGCCCAAAATTTATGTGGCTAAGTGAGACATTTGTTAAGTGAGTTTTGCCCCATTCTAATGACTTCTCCTGCCACATTTGTTAAGAAAATCGACGCAATTGTTAAAGTTAGTAACACAGTTGTTAAGTGAATTTGGCTTCCCTGTTGACTTTGTCAGAAAGTCATAAAAGAATATGTCATGGCCCCAGGGATGCTGCAATGGTCACAAGTGTGAAAAATGATCTGAAGTCACTTTTTCTCTGCCGTTGTAGCTTCCAACGGTCACTAAATGAACTGTTGTAAGTCAAGGACTCCCTGTATCATGCTGGAAGTCAGCTTAAGTAGTCTTTCCAGACTACAGTGGGTTCAGCAGGTTCTGACCAGTTCTGGAGAACCGGTAGCAGAAATTTTGAGTAGTTCAGAGAACCGGTAGTAAAAATTCTGACTGGCCCCGCCCCCATCTATTCTCTGCCTCCCGAGTCCCAGCTGATTGGGAGGAAATGGGGATTTTGCAGTAACCTGCCCCTGGATTGGGGAGAGAACTGCAGGGATTATATTGCTTTGCTCTTTGAAAGTTACTTTTTTCTTTAGCTCCTTTTACATATATATATATACATATACATATACATATACATATACATATACATATACATATACATATACATATACATATACATATACATATATACACACACACACATATATGTAGGTCTTTGGTTTTCTCCCGCGTAAAATTGGAAGTGTCTTGGCGACGTTTCGACGAAGTCTCATTCGTCATCTTCAGGCTGGTGTTTTCGGCTTCGTGCTTCTAGGAGCAATGTGTGATCGCAGCTGTTTCTTCCTTTTAACTGCCAGTGGGGGTGTTAACACATAAAAATATGTGTTGCTTTATCATTTTTCCCTAATGTATTTTGGTCCAGTATTTTTTTTTTCTTGCCTTTTTTCTTTAGCTCTGAATGGGTGTTAACTGGTTTATATTTTTTCAGGTTGCCCAAGTTGTACATTTGTGAATTCTGTCTCAAATACATGAAAAGCAGAACTATTCTCCAGCAGCACACGAAGAAATGCGGCTGGTTTCATCCCCCAGCCAATGAAATATACAGAAAGAGTAATGTGTCGGTTTTCGAGGTAAATTTCAACAGCTCTCAACTTCTGTTTGTCCCAATAAAAGTGTTTTGACCTAGGCTTCCTGAGAAAGTATAAATCACACACTTAGTCCCAAAAAACCTCTTTTATTGAGACGGTTGTGAATTATGTTCATTCACAGCCCATAATGAGTCCCAAGCAGTTTGTGAATAGTCCAACAGAAGTCTGTCATAGTCTTTCGGGATAAGGCTGGTAAGCACCCACCTTTCTCTCCCTTGAAACGCTGCCAAAGACCTAATTGCCAATTAGCTTTGCAAGGCCAAACGGAGCACAAAGTCAAAACGGAGCTTCAGAATTTAAACCTACCAGAACAAAGTTGCTTCCTGCAAAGGCTCATGTCCTTTTGCTCCTCCTTTATGTTTTATGGGAGGGGCCAATCATCTCCAAGCCTTACTTTTGAGTCACCCCTTTTGTCTTAACTGTTCTTGCCTTCTGGCAGCTCTGTGCATGCGCACTCTGGGAACAGGCTCCCCCTGATCCTCTGCCTCACTGAGGTCTGACTCTGGAGGCTCCGGAGGCAGCACATACCTCCCAGATGGCTCTTTCTCTGCCTCTGACGCAGAGCCTTCGTCTGAGCCTTCCCCACACTCCAGGACTGGCCCATGTTCCTCCCTAGCCTCCTCACTGTCCGACTCTGCTGCCAGCTCTGCAGGCCGCCGGCAGACTGCAACAAAAACAGGCAACGTAGTTCACAATGAATTTTTCACAGCAAGTTCTGCACCAAGGAATAGGAACTAGCTCTAGAACACAGAGATATAATTTGAATAGTCTCTGGGTATGTTGTTTGTAGAGTCCTGGGCGGCCAGCAATTTTTAGTGAAGATACAGTGGGTGAGAATTTAGTGTATGCCTACATGTTTCTGCTGTAAATTTCTGCCTTCTAAATTGGGTTTCTAAATACCATTTCCCAAAAAGAGTTCTGTTTCACAAGTTAGGAGTAGTGCATAGCCCTTTTAGTGACTCTTTAAATAAGGTTATAAATTCTTGGCCATATAAACAAATCTTAAGTGGTTGCTAAGCTTAAGAATATGGGTTGCCTTGGGGTGGGGGGCAAAGGTCAGAGTAGTGATGTTTTCCAACTGCTCTTTTTCTCTTAATGCGTTCAAAAATGGATGTTCTCCCTGTTCTTTGCTCTAATATTATTTGGCCAGGGTATGGTATTTCATTGCGGTTTTCTGATGAATTAATCTCCTTTTCTTTTAAGGTGGATGGCAACGTCAGTACTATTTACTGCCAGAACTTGTGTCTATTGGCTAAACTCTTCCTGGACCATAAGACTCTCTACTACGATGTGGAGCCATTTCTTTTTTATGTGCTGACGCAAAATGATATGAAGGGCTGTCACCTCGTCGGCTACTTCTCCAAGGTGAGGGTACAGACGGTTGAAACCTGGGTTTTGATGTGCAGGAACTCTACAAGGGTGTGTCCTCTTAAGTCACCAAGAAACAAACTCAGTTTGAAGGGGACTTTAGTTTCATTTTGCAATGCTGGGTGGTGGTTCTTTTCTCACCCCTCAACAGAAGGAAATAGCTTCTACTATTTCTAAAAAAAAAAATGTATAAAATCTACGGGAAGGAATGTGGACTTTGGAAATCCATTTAAATGATGCTAGCTACCATGTTTCCCCAAAAATAAGACCTCCCGCGAAAATATTTAACTGCTTGTGCAGCCGGTCCCCATCATTTCCTCTGGTTAGGGTTAGGAGACAGAGCTGGAAATCAGGTAAAACGGCAAGAGGAGCCCGTCTTGCTCCACGCGCCCCAAAATAATAAGACCTCCCTGAAAATAAGGCCAAGCACTTATTTCAGGGTTCAAAAAAATATAAGACAGGGTCTTATTTTTGGGGAAACACGGTATGTATATTAACAGGCATTTCCTCACCTGCATATTTAAGTTTTTACACGCTTTGTATTTTTGTGAGTTCTTAAGGATGGCTAAGTGCTGCATTCAGCATCAATTCCCATGCTTTCCTCCACCCCACCCCCCCAACACCACTTCTCAAACTCTGCCATCACGAGATATGATTTGTGCAAGAAGATAATTAATTTTTCCTTCCCCTATCTCTGCCTTTTTCTTTTTCCCGTCGTATTAAGCCTCCTGTGCTTAATGTATCTCTGGAAATTACCTTTGAAATTAGTCTAAAACTGCATTCTAGTGGCTGTAATTGGGCTGGTGTTTTCAGTGTACGAATTCAAAGTGATACTGCAGTCATTCTTCCAAAAGTCTGCTGGATTTTAACTACATGTGGGACTTCCGAAGCACTGGGTGCAGTTTTCCCTATCCCTTTTAAGACTCTGTCTAGACAAATCCAGGGAACTGAAGCAGTTAACAGTTGGCTGGCTTTCTCTTCATCCTGTCTTGAACAGAGTGTATCCTCCGAGGAGCGTGAATTCCAGCTTCGTGATTCTAAAGGGAGGTTTTAAATTACTTCCTCATCCCTTGGGTAGCGAAGAGTACAGCTAGTTGGCGAAGTAAACATTCATTGTTAGCGCGCCACCAAGCCCGCTGCTCCTCAAATCAGATGCTGATCTCATTGCAAAGCTTTTGTTTGCGCTCTGGAAAAAAACAAAACAAAAACCCCGCAATTGAGACCGAACATGGCTTTCGTATTCCTCCTGCATAGATGGGGTCCATCTTAAGCGTGAAGGCTTAAGGCTCGCCTTTTGCAGAAGCTGTTTTGCTTGGAGAAGAAATTTGCCGGTGGGGTGGGTGGGAAGAGGGGAGGAAATAACCGTGCCCTTGTAGTTTAGTTAGCCTGCCTGCAGAAGGGGGATATGCCTGCTAGATTTGTAGTTCAGATGTAAGGACCTAAATCCTCTGGGGTTTTTTTTGGGAGGCACTGCAGATTTTCAATTTCCACTCTGCAAGGCAAGGAGAGAAGTGTGTGTGTGTGTATGAGAGAGAGAGAGGGAGATTCGTGATAACAAGGCAATGTCGAATATGTTAAAAACATCATCAAAGAAAAGAAGATTTAGGAATCAATGCAGAGCTTAAATACAATAGTAGCATTTCGGGAAATACACAAACATTCAAACAGCTACTGTTCAAATGGTTCACAAATTGTCCCAGAAATGCAGTTTTCCTGAAGGACAGCAGGGTCAGGGGTGTGTGTGTGTGTGTGTGTGTGTGTGTCCAAATGGCTTTGAGGGTAAATGCTACTCCAGAGGGGAGAAGCAACAACAACAGGGATAGCACACCTCTAGGGGTCCCACAAGATGGCATTATTTTATAGATGGGCCTGGAGTATGCCTATCACGCCAGGTTTCGTAGGACAGACTGGCATAATGCTGAGGCCAGCATTTCCATAAATATTGAATATTTGGGTATGGCCAGTCTAGAGAAAAGAAGGACGAGGGGTGACACAATAGCAATGTTCCAGTATTTGAGAGGCCGTCACAAAGAGGAGGGGGGTCAATTTATTTTCCAAAGCAACAAAAGACGAGACCCAATGGATGAGAACCTAACCAAGGAGAGAAGCAATCCTGAAATTGAGGAGAAACTTCCTAACATTGAAAACAATTAACCAGTGGAACAGTTTGCCTTCAAAAGTTGAGGAGGACGGTGATTTTTGGAGGGGAAGTTTTGGGACTTTTTTGGAGGTTTTTAAGAAGAGACTAGAGAACCACTTGTCTGAAATTATATAGGGTCTCCTGCTTGAGCAGGAGGTTGGACTAGCAGACCTCTAAGGTCCCTTCCAGCTCTACTATGGAAGCCTGATCCTTGAAGGACTTCATAGAAGACAACTGGAACATCGAAATGTATCCGCAAACCAACTAGTAATCGGTGCAGCCTGTCATATAGAGGTGATATGTGGATGTGCTACTCAGAGAGCTGCACTCTGGACTAGCTGTGTTTTACTGCAGGAGACAACGCATATGTTTTGCATTGTGGTACTCCAAATGGGAGCCACATACTCTTCCCTCAACAGCAGTAGGTCCAGAAGGACTCCAGGTTGTGCATTAAGGTCCGTCTGGAAAAACACACAATTTGTCTTCACCAATTCCTACTTCAGAACCGATGATAGAAAATCCACGGACCGAAGTGATTTCTGAGCCCAAAGCTACCTAGTCACGTCCTGTCTGTACCTGCAAATCTGTGATACAATAATATCGTGTATAATTAAATACCCTGTTTCCCCGAAAATAAAACCCAACCAGAAAATAAGCCCTAGCATGATTTTTTCCCCAAGATGCTTGTAATATAAGCCCTACCCCCAAAATAAGCCCCGGTTAAAATCGTCAACCAGACAGATGCATTTAGTACAGTATTCCCCCCAAAATAAGACCTAACCGGAAAATAAGCCCTAATGCATCTTTTGGAGCAAAAATTAATATAAGACCCAGTCTTGTTTTTGGGTAATCATTAAGCACACACATCAAAATAAGATTAAAAATTACACAGTGAAATAATATCCCCATTTATCTGCTCCGTAGTTTGAGAGAGCCATGCCTGCCGAACAAGCTATTTTCCTAGTAATAAATACTGTTGGGTATATCGTAGAATCCAAACAATATAAACATTTCCCAGATTTTCTCTCCCATCTTAAGGGGGGCGGGGGAGCCTTTCTGTTTTAGAAAGTTCCAAAGAAGCAAGACCCTTGGAGGGAGAAGCCAGAGTCATTTGGAATAAACATTGCTGGATTTCAGGAACCAAACCATCCTCCGTCATCTCCCCCACCCCCTCCCCTCCCTTCCCCGCTTCCCAAATAATTAGAGGTTTACTGTTGTTTTTCACTTGATTTTCTCTGACTCCCCGATGGAATTACAGCTGTGTCTTTGGCTGGAATATTCCCTCCGTATTAATTATTGTCCTAAAGAACTCTTCCGTGTCACAAGGCCTTGCGTTTAATAACTGGATTCTCTTCCCCCCCCCACCACCTCTTTTCTCTTTTTCCTAGGAAAAACACTGCCAGCAGAAATACAACGTCTCCTGCATCATGATTCTTCCCCAGTACCAACGCAAGGGCTATGGCAGATTCCTCATTGACTTCAGTAAGCCCCTTCTTACTTTCTTTTTTTTCTGGTTTTTTTTTTTTTGATAAAGGTTCCCCTTGCACTTATGTGCTAGTCATTCCCGACTCTAGGGGGTGGTGCAGGGTTTAATAGAAGCATTACAGAATTTTAATAAGAAGAATTTAAGGGAGCAAAAAGTAATCCTATAGTGGCATATTAAAAGTTAAGCATGGCCACTGTTGCCGTCTTGAGGTGGGCGATAGACAAGAGTAGAATGTGCTGTCAGAGAATTTTGCATTTTGTTGGTAGGCTGTTAATCAGCACAGGGCATATCTGTCCCCTAGTGGCCACAAACACAACTCAGATGCTGAAATGTGTTTATATTTTAACAGAATAGCAGAGTTGGGAGGGACCTTCCAATCTTCTTCTTCTTTTAATGACCCCATAATCCCTTGCGGGGTGGAGTGTTTACTGGCCAAATGCCCTTCCTGTCGCCAGTGCAGAGTTTTATTCAGCAGATATAGTCTTGTTGTGTTCAGAGAGAGAAATATCTGCCTCTACCTACCTAGGATTGAACTCACAGCCTCCTGATTATGAGGAGAGAGCTCCACCTCTAGGCCACCGCACCACTCTTGGAAGGAACCTTCCAATATGTGTTTATAATATACCTGGACATCATTCTCCAGTGTTCCCTTCAGTAGAACAGGTGCCAAAGCTCTTCTCTGTGGCCTGGAAGAATGATTTGTGTTCCATGAAAAATTGAGATTTTTGGTTAAAGGGGGTCCCTATCACTATGGTTTTCACATGTCCATCCATTTTCCAGAAAAATCTCAGCTCTTTATGAGAATCCCTCTTGGTGTTCTGGCTCCCTTTCTTGACTAATACCCTGTTTCCCCGAAAATATGACCTACCTTGAAAGTAAGCCCTAGCTTGATTTTTACACGTGCGCCCAATATAAGCCTTACCCCCAAAATAAGCCCTGATTAAGATCCCGCCCACTCCAGAGTGCACGGGTAAAAATTAATCTAGGGTTGGGATGGGGCTGGAACTGCCCTACTACTTACTTTTGGACAGTTGTAGCCAGGCCTCGCACACCCCGACACCTGCCTCGCCGGCCCTTTTCACTGTCAGAGGCCTTCAGGAATTACTTTTTCTGTGGCCGGCAAGGCTTTCCTGAAGGCCTCTGTAGCAGATAACAAAGTTCCAAATCAATCCGGAGTTCTGTTATCAGCCGCAGAGGCCTTCACGAAAGCCTTGCCAGCCACAGAAGAAGTAGTTCCTGAAGGCCTCTGACAGCAAAAAGGAGACTGGGGGTGACACGCGCAAGTGAGGTTAGTCAATGGATGACATCCTCCGAAAATAAGACCTGCTGCCTTTATAAGAAAATAAGACAGGGTCTTATTTTCGGGGAAACACGGTGTTCTGACCTAGGCTTCCTGAGTCAGTAAAACCCACCAGTAGTCCCAAAAACCTGTTTTATTTTAACAGCTGTGAATTCTGTTCATTCACAGAGGAGTCCCAAATAGTTGTAAAGAGTCCTTCGGGATAAGGCTAATAATCACCCACCTTTATCTCCCTTGACATGCTGCCAAAGACCTAATTGGCAAAACCACAGGGATTACAGAATCAAACAGAGCTTCAGACTTTAAACTGAACAGAACGAACAAAGTTGCTTCCTGCAAAGTCCCACGTGCCTTTGCTCCTCTTTTAAGCCTTATGGGAGGGGCCAATCATCTCCAAGCCTTACTCCTGAGTCGTCCCTTTTGTTTTAACTCTTCTTGCCTCCTGGCAGCTCTGTGCATGCGCGCACTGGGAACAGGCTCCCCCTATTCCTCTGCCTCGCTGAGGTCTGACCCTGGAGGCTCCGAAGGCGGCACTTACCTCCCAGATGGCCCTTTCTCTGCCTCAGACGCAGAGCCCTCGTCCGAGCCTTCCCCAGACTCCAGGACTGGCCCATGTTCCTCCCCAGCCTCCTCACTGTCCGACTCTGCTGCCAGCTCTGCAGGCTGCTGGCGGACCACACAACACATGGTATCCCATTTTTTGTACAGGAGCTAAAGGCAAGCTCCCTGAGATTGATGTTCATAATGACCAGAGTAACAACTTGTTATATAACAATTAATTTTGTGATTCTTCCCCCTGCCCCCCCCAAGGTGTCACTAGTAGTGTTTCCTTAGCTGCCCCACAACTGTGAGTAAACTTAGAAGAGTGTGGTTGTGTATACCAAACCTGGTCCTGAGTCCAGTTCTGCTTTCTCTCGTAGGTTATCTCCTATCAAAACGCGAAGGCCAAGCAGGATCCCCGGAGAAGCCGCTGTCTGATTTGGGACGTCTTTCCTACATGGCATACTGGAAAAGTGTCATCTTGGAGTGCCTTTATCACCAAAACGACAAACAGATCAGCATCAAGAAGTTAAGCAAACTGACCGGCATCTGTCCTCAAGACATCACTTCGACTCTTCACCACCTGCGAATGCTTGACTTCCGTAACGATCAGTGAGCATCTCACTTCCTTCTCTCACGGACTCGGGTGACCTCGGGAAAAGGGCAGGATGATGCTCAGGGCTGAATCTGTAGATGCAAAAATCCTGAAAAACGCAAATGTGTTTTTTTTTTTTTTTTTTTAAATAGCCATGTTTCTATTCTATTCTATACCCTTGTGCTATCAAGTTTACTCTTAAGAGGTGGTTTTTTTTCTCTTCAATCTCAGAAGTCGGGGTGAATTTAGAGAGCCAGAGAAGTGACTCAGGGGTTGAAGTAGGAATGGAGAGGCTCACATAATAGAATAGGACTAGGACTAGGATTAGGACTAGGACTAAGAATGGAATAATAGAATAGAATAGAATTAGAATTAGAATTAGAATTAGAATTAGAATTAGAATAGAATAGAATAGAATAGAATAGAATAGAATAGAATAGAATAGAATAGAATAATAAAATAATAGTATAACAGAAGAATAGATTAGAATAGAAGAATAGAATAGAATAGAATTAGAATAGAATAGAATAGAATAATAAAATAATAAAATAATAGAATAATAGTATACTAGTATAACAGAAGAATAGATTAGAATAGAAGAATAGAATAGAATAGAATTAGAATAGAATAAAATAATAAAATAAAATAATAAAATAATAGTATAACAGAAGAATAGATTAGAAGAATAGAATAGAATAGAATTAGAATAGAATTAGAATAGAATAGAATAGAATAATAAAATAATAGAATAATAGTATAATAGTATAACAGAAGAATAGATCAGAATAGATTAGAATAGAATAGAATAGAATAGAATAGAATAGAATAGAATAGAATAGAATAGAATAGAATAGAATAGAATAGAATAGAATAGTATAACAGAGTTGGAAGGGACCTTGGAGGTCTTCTAGTCCAACCCCCTGCTTAGGCAGGAAACCTTATACCATTTCAGACAAGTGGTTATCCAATCTCTTCTCCGTGTTGGAGCATTCACGACTTCTGGAGGCCGGTTGTTCCACTGGTTAATTGTCCTCACCCTTAGGAAATTTCTCCTTAGTTCTAAGTTGCTTCTCTCCTTGATTAGTTTCCACCCATTGCTTCTTGTCCTGCCTTCAGGTGCTTTGGAGAATAGCTTGACTCCCTCTTCTTTGGGGCAACCCCTGAGATACTGGAACACTGCTATCATGTAGCCTTTCTTTTCATTAAACTAGACATCCCCAATTCCAGCAACTGTTCTTTATATGGGTTGATGCATTATTTTGAGCCCAACCAATATGGACTAATTCTGTGTCGAGAGTCTCTCTGACATTTTGAAGGCCTCGAGCTTACAGTGGCGAGCAACGGCTGCACGGTATTAGTAGCAAGTGCTTAGTAATGCACCTCTCCTTTGGGTCTTCCAAACACCTTTTTTTCCACCTGCATTTCCATGTTTATAGCATGAACTTGATCCTCAGTGGCGCAGTGGCCTAGAAGTGAAGCTCTCGCCTCACAATCAGGAGGCTGTGAGTTCGATCCTAGGTAGAGGAAGATATTTCTCACTCTGGGCACACTGAAAAGGTATCTGCTGTATAAAACTCCACATTGGTGACAGGAAGGGCATCTGGCCAGTAAATGGTCAGCTCCATTCAGTTGCCCAGACTCCACCCCACAAGGGATTATGGGGTCATTAAAAGAAGATGATAGCATGAACTTGATGCCATGTGACTAAAGCCAGCCTTCCTTCCTTCCTTCCTTCCTTCCTTCCTTCCTTCCTTCCTTCCTTTCCTTCCTTCCTTCCTTCCTTCCTCCTTCCTTCCTTCCTTCCTTCCTTCCTTCCTTCCTTCCTTCCTTCCTTCCTCAGATTTGTGATTGTTCGGCGGGAAAAACTTATCCAAGACCATATGGCGAAGCTGAAACTGAACATCCGGCCTGTAGTCGTGGACCCAGAATGTCTGCGCTGGACTCCCGTCATCGTCTCAAACTCGGTGGTTTCTGAGGATGAGGAGGATGATCCCGAAGAGACAGAAATCGAGGTCCCACAGCAGTCACGGGAGAGAGACATTGAGGTCAGAATGCGAGGCGCTTTTGCATGATGATATATTGTGAAGTAGTGTAGAGCCATAGAATAGCAGAGTTTATGGAAGTCTTCTAGTCCAACACACTCTTTAAGCAGGAGTCCCTGTACCCGTGATGGTTAACCTTTTTGGTGCCCAAATGCACACGCGTGTGCCCGAATCCCCAAAATGCAATGCGACTGCCCCCCCGCGCATGTGCCCTCTGTGCCCCGTTTTGGCTTCCAGATTGGTGCAGGAAGCTTTCCAGGCCCAAAATGGGGTGTGTGGGGGGCGGCCCCCCGCTCCCCATTTTGGGTCTGCACCAACCTGCACCCCCCGTGCATTCATGCTCGTGTCCCCTATATGCGCCCTGCCCCCGGTGCATGCACAGCAGAGACCTGAAGACCAGCTGGCCGGCAGAAGGCGTGCACGCATGCATGGTGGAGCTACACTGGGGCGACGAATGGTGTGCCCGCAGAGAGGGCCCGCGTGCCATAGGTTCACCATCCTGGCCCTATACGATCCAAGACAAATGGTTGTCTAGTCTCTTCTTAAAACCTCCAGCAGTTTTAAACAACTGTTTAATTGTTTTCACGCTCAGGAAGTTTCTCCTTCGTTCTAGATTGGATCTTTCTTTAATAATCTTCCCTCCATTACTTCTTGTACTGACCTCAGCTGCTTTGGAAAATAGATTGAAACCCCCCCCCCCCCTCATTTTCTCTATGATCCCCTCTTCTGTGTGACAGAAAGACTGTTTTATCATGTAACCCCTAATCCTTCTCTTTGTTAGAGTAGACCTGCCCAGTTCCAGCAACCGTTCTTCATATGTTTTAGCCTCCGGTCCTATGATCCTCTTCGTTGCTTTTCTCTGTACTCTTTCTGGAGTCTCAACACAGCCTGACAGATACAGGTTCCTCTAGCATTTCTCGATCTCAGCAACTTTAAGACCTGTAGACTCCAGCTCCCAGAATTCCCTAGCAGCCATGCTGGCTGAAGAATTCTGAGACCGAAGTCCGTATATCCATATGCAGCAAAGAGATTGAGCCTGTGGAGATTGTCCGTCATCCAAGTCGTGGTTGTCCCAAAGGTTATTTTTTTTTAAGAGGCAACTGGACTTTCTGGTTTTTTTCTTTGAAGACGTTTCGCTTCTCCTCCAAGAAGCTTCTTCAGTTTTGACTGGATGGTGGGGAATGGAAGGATTTATACTTCCTTGCAGAAAGCTGGTCATTTGTGTTCTTTTAGCGAGTTTTTAAGGTCCCCTAGAAATTTATCTGTGTCCTCAAGGTCACCTGAGTGGTGCTCCTGGTTCCTGTAGTCTGCATTACTCCATTAGCACTACTCAAGTGACCCTGAGGATCTGTGGTGGGTTTCAAATTTTTTTACTACCGGTTCTGTGGGTGTGGCTTGCTGGGCGTGGCATGAGAAGGATACTGTAAAATCTCCATTCCCTCCCCACTCCAGGGGAAGGTTACTGCAAAATCCCCATTTCCTCCCGATCAGCTGGGACTCGGGAGGCAGAGAATAGATGTGGGCGGGGCCAGTCAGAATTTTTACTACTACCGGTTCTCCGAACTACTCAAAATTTCCGCTACCGGTTTTCCAGAACTGGTCAGAACCTGCTGAAACCCACCTCTGCTGAGGACACAGATAAACCTCCAAGGGCTTCAACAAACAAAATGATGCAAATGACCAGCTGTTTGCAAGGAGTATAAATCCTTCCCTTCCCCACCATCCAGTCAGAGCCGAAGAAGCTTCTCAGATGAGAAGCAAAATGTCTTCCAAAAAAAAAAACCCCCACAGAAATCCCAGTTGCCTCCTGAAAAAGCCCCTTTGGGAACACCGAGAGATATAGTGGTCTAGCAGCTCAGAGAGTGGCTGTTGAAAAGAGGTCTCGTAATTTTTCAGAAATCTGACTTGGAAGCAGAGCACGTTCCCTATTTTTTCCCTTCAAGCTCACTTCATTTGCTTACCTCTCGGAGGGCATTTAAAGTCTGCCTTTGCTCAGCCTGGTACTGCCACACCTCCCAACGGCTTGAGCCACCAATTTCATCACCACGCTTTAAAAAAATTAGCAGTTCCTGTTCTACCAGTCCCATGAGCTTTTCTTTTTTTTTTTTTTAAATGGCAGCCGGAAAAAGAGTTAATTTCTTTTTGTACCCCCTTCCCCTGCCTCCCACAGGTGATAAAATGTGTCTCCTGGGAGAGGAAAGAACGAGAGTCCTGCTTTCCGCTGGAGAGTGAAAAAAAGCCAGAGATTCTCCCGGTCAACGCCCTGCGATCTGGCAAGCAAAGTCTTCCCCTAAGTGGTCTTCCCGCCAACAGCCACACACCGCGCAGGGGCCGGTGGAACCGCAAGAACAAAAAGCTGCGGGAATCCTTCACCGAGAAGGACCCAAAGCTGACCTTGGAGGAGAAGTCGGCAATGGCCAGGGGCAGCCGATGCGGCGAGTGCCAGGAAAAGGCGGCAGCAGCGGCGGCGGCGGCAGCAGCGGCGGCCTCTCGAGGGAGATTTGCCGAGAGCGAAGAGAAGGCAGCGTCCTCCCAGGGACAGTGTGGCAAATGCGAGGAAAAGACCCCGACTCCCCGAGGGCACTTTGGCAAAGAGGAAGACAAGCTGGCCTCCTCCCAGGGGCCATTCGGCAAGGGCGAGAAGCCCTCCGTCGGCCAGAGGCGATGCAGCGATGGCATGGAGGTCTGGAAAGGGCAGCTGAAAGCTCTGGAGCCCCTGAAAAGCCGGCTCTCGGAGCAGTGCGACAGGATAGCCCGACGACACAGCGAGGGGGACCGCACGGCGCTCAGGCACTTCAGCGAGAGCAGCGAAGACGAAGACGAGGAGCCTGCCAGCCCCTGCTCCAGTTCCCCACCAGTTCTCACTAAGCCAGCACTGAAGAGGAAGGTGCGTTTCTGCCTCCCCCCCATTAGAGAGCTCGGGAGATGGTGCATTAAACAAAAATACTGTGTTTCCCCGGAAATAAGACCCTGTCTTATATTTTTTTGGAACCCCGAAATAAGCGCTTGGCCTTATTTTCGGGGAGGTCTTATTATTTTGGGGCGCGTGGAGCAAGACGGGGCTCCTCTTACCTGATTTCCAGCTCTGTCTCCCTAACCCTAACCAGAGGAAATGGCGGGGACCGGCTGTGCATGCGGTTAAATATTTTCAGGGAGGGCTTTTTTTTTTTTTTTTGGTGGAGGGTTATTGGGCTCATTATCAGGGGATGTCTTATTTTCGGGAAAACTGTAACAAGGGTTCAGCATCGGGCCACAAATGGACTCTTGGACCCCTTGTTCCTGCTGGTTTCCCATCAAAGTTTGGTTAAGCTGACTTTGTATAAATATACAAAAGTATGAAGGCTATTGCTTAACGCATTGTAAGCCGTCCTGAGTCTCCGGAGAAGGGCGGCATATAAATCAAAATTAAAAAAAAAAAAATCTGCCTATGGAGCAGAAGGATCAGGAAGTGATCATACTGGCAGCCGCTGGAAATCTTATGGATCGTTTCTCAAGTATTATCTTAAAAAGTGATAGAGATTAGCGATTTGATAGGTTAAAGCTATCAAAGCTTTAATTTGATCAGAGCTATAATTATTATCCCAGAGCTATAATTTCACTCAACCATGAACTAAAGGGCCACCATCCGTGAGCTGTTGGACAGCATTGCTTGGTCTGTTGTGTGGATGTTTGGGTGGTTTAGGGGTGGGGAATTTGTGGTGGGTGGGAGTGTGTCTGGGGATTGTTATGTGTGTTGGGCCTGGTCTTTGGGTGTTGAGTGAATTTCGTTGTATGGGTATATTGTGTATACACGTACAATGACAATAAAGTTGTTGTTGTTGTTGTTGTTGTTATTATTAAAAAATAAGCATGATATCTCAGAAAGCTGAACTCTGCAGCCCCTACCCCCATAAGGGTTTCTGGAATTTCCAAGACTGGGTACAGCAAGGGCTGTTTAGCCATCTGTGTCTTGAATGTTTAAAGATGGGCACAACTTTCCTAGGGCACTATTACAATAGGGCATTATTGCGGTCCAGTTAAAATGGAAGCAACTTGATTTTGTGGCCCTAAATATTTATCTTCCATCAGTTAAAACAGAATCCCAAATTAAATATGTGTGAACAAAATTGGAACCATATAGGTAGTACTTGACCTACGACTACAATTGAGCCCAACATTTCTGTTGTTAGGTGAGAATTTGTTAAGTGGGTTTTGCTCCTTTTTACGACCTTTCTTGCCACCGTTGTTAAGCGAATCACTGCCGTTGATAAGTTAGTAATCCAGTTGTTAAGTGAATCTGGCTTCCCCACTGATTTCGCTTGTCAGGTGGTCGCAAAAGGATGATCACATGACCCCAGGACACTGAAACCGTCATAAATATGAGTCAATTGCTAAGCATCTGAATTTTGATCACGTGGCTCATGGCGGTGCTGCCAAGGTCGTAACTGTGAAAAACAGTCACAAGTCACCTTTTTCAGTGCCGCTGTAACTTTGAACAGTCACTAAATGAACTGTTGTAAATCAAGGACTACCTGTACATTTTCAACCTGCTTTAAAAAGAAACCCCATACATATTTTGTGATTCTGTGTGTCTTAAATGCCAGAACTAATAATGAAGCATTGGTAGCCAAGTTTCCTTTTTTTATTTGCCATATGTCAGGCAAGTGGTTTGTATGATAAAGGTAAAGGTTCCCCTCGCACATCTGTGCTAGTTGTTCCCGACTCTAGGGGGCAGTGCTCATCTCCATTTCAAAGCCGAAGAGCCAGCGCTGTCCAAATATGTCTCCATGGTCATGTGGCGGGCATGACTCAACACCAAAGGCGCAGGGAACGCTGTTCCCTTCCCACCAAAGATGGTCCCTATTTTTCTACTTGCCTTTTTTACGTGCTTTCGAACTGCTAGGTTGGCAGAAGCTGGGACAAGTCATGGAGCTCACCCCATTATGCGGCACTAGGGATTCGAACCGCTGAACTGATGACCTTTCGATCAACAGGTTCAGCGTCTTAGTATGACAGACTATCTAAAAATGGATTTTTTTTTTAATTTGATTTATATGCCGCCGTTCTCGGGAGACTCAGAACGGCTTACAATGTGGTAAGCAATAGCCTTCCTACTTTTGTATATTTATACAAAGTCAGCTTATTGCCCCCACAATCTGGGTCCTCATTTTACCTACCTTAGAAAGGATGGAAGGCTGAGTCAACCTTGAGCCTGGTAAGATTCGAATCTGCAGTAATTGCAGGCAGCTGTGTTAATAACAGGGTGCTTTAAACCACTGTACTACCAAGGCCCCTATATTTGTAATCATTAAGTTTAGTTGAAACCGGGGAAATTGAAGACATTAATATACTCTTCACATCCTGTTGGTTGAGTTCGTGCAATACCTATAAGCCGTAAATCACGGTATCTTTTATTACTGTTTTTAATTGTGAGGCTTTTAATTGTGAAACAGATGCTTAGGAGTTAACAGATTGTGGAGATACCTTGCAGTGTTTTTTTTTCACCTTGTTGTTGTTCTCTTTTCTTTCTTTTGACTCTCTTGTACAGAAGCCCATTCCCCGGAAGAGACGAGTCCGTAAGCGGAAATACCACAACAGCAGCGTAGTTACCGAAACGATCTCGGAAACGACAGAGGTCCTGGACGAGCCATTTGAGGATTCAGATTCTGAGAGGCCCATGCCTCAGCTGGAGCCCACCTTTGAAATGGAAGACGAGGAGGAGGAGGAAGAGGAGGAGGAGGAGGAGGAGGAAGAGAGCGAATTGTTCTCTCGAGGATATCTTCGCCGTCTCTCTCCACAGGATTCCCTTAGGCACAGACCCTCCTTAAAGAGAGGAAGTCAAGAGGGAGAGGAATCGGATGATACGGCTGGTACGTTTCCTGATCCTTTGATTCTGTGTTTATCTGAATCCAGAACGGTTGATGTCTTCCCTCCCTTAGTATTTATTCACCCGGAATATCCAAGCTTGGCATTCTATAAATATCCAGTCAGTTGCTATGGGCTTAGGCGGGCAAACCCAATATCTTGGTATGTGGGAATGACCTTGAGAGACAGGGCGAAGAGATGCAACCATGTAACGCTCAGATAAAAGGCAGATGAGTCCGCAGCGGGAATGTTGGCAGGACACGAAGCTCAGAAGAAATCCTCCCTAGTATCTTGGGCAGTAAAGGAGATGAGCTAGTGATAAGACTGTGTTAATTTAGCTCTCCAATACAATTAAATTAGCTTATCTGTTGTTGTCTGCTGTCTGGTCTACCTCATAAGGATGACACCCATCTAGTATTGTGGCCCGCTAGCAGCCAGCGGAGAATCTGGCAGCAGATTTGGACATTGAGGAGGTTGGGGAGAAACATGGGCCAGTCCTGGAGTCTGGGGAAGGCTCGGATGAGGGCTCTGCGTTGGAGGCAGAGATGGGGCCAGGGCCATCTGGGAGTTATTTGCTGCCTCCGGAGCCTCCGGAATCTGACATCAGTGAGGCAGAAGAACAGCGTGAGCCTGTTCCCAGTGTGCGCATGCGCAGAGCTCCCAGTAGACAGGAACAATTAAGAAAACAGGGTCGACTTGGGAGTAAGACTTGGAGATGATTGGCCCCTCCCATAAGACATAAAAGAGGAGCAAACGGGACATGAGCTTTTGCAGGAAGCAATTAGTTCAACTGGTTGGTTAAAGCTTTGGAAAGTTCTGTTTGACTCTGTGCTAAGTTTGGCCTTGCCCTGCGTGTGACAATTAGTTCTCTGGCAGCATTCCAAGGGAGATAAGGTGGGTGTTTATCGACAATCCCCTGAAAGACTGTTTGTGAAGCCTTTCGGTCTGTGAATGACAATCATTCACAGCCGTATGAATAAAAGAGGTTTGCCAGGACTAAGATTGTGCTGTATGCTTTCTAAGGAAGCCTAGGTCAGAATATCTAGCTACCTTATTCTACCAGAGAAACTTCCTCTGTTTTTATACCCCATCCCCCCCCCCCCCCCCCCCCCCCCCCCCAAACATTTGCCATATGGAGGGAAGGGGAAATATAGCCAGCAGGAAGCTAGACAGGGCCAGAAGGGTGCCAGATGGGTTGCCCCAAATATAAAAATTGCAAAGGTTTCCCCTGCCCACTTGTGTCCACTTTTAGAGAGCGGTATTCATCTCCGTTTCGCGGAGGGACCCAGCATTGTCCAAAGACGTTTCTGTGGTCATGTGGCTGGCGTGACTATATGGTGAATAGTAATTCAGAGAAAAAAAGCAAGGAGGAAGTGGGGAAATAGGCAAGATACAAAGCTTATGAAGAAACCTTGACCCTAGAGGGAGGGACTGTGGGACAGTAAGAGGTATAGTCCAGAGGTCAGCAACCTACGGCTCTGGAGCCGCATGTGGCTCTTTCACCCCTCTGCTGCAGCTCCCTGTCACTCAAAATATGCGTCACAACCGCCAATGTGCGACACCCACCAGCACGTGATTTATTGAGCTTTTCAACCCCCGGTAGGCCAACCATAGATAAATCCAAGAAAAGAAAAGTTTCAGAAGAAAAGAGAACATTTAATTCAACTACATATGCTAGTTTTGTGGCCGCTCAAGAAATAAGTCAGGCACAGGAAGGGTTTTGTGGCTCCCGGTGTTTTCTTTTCTGTGGGAAACGGCTCCAAATGGCTCTTTGAGTGTTTAAGGTTGCAGACCCCTCGTATAGTCCAAAGAGCTCCATGCCTTCAGCATCAAGGACTCCCTCCCTTTTCAAGGGAGATGGGGAAAATTGTGAGAAATAGCTAGCTAGCTGGAGATAAATTTGCTGAAATCGCTGTAATGAACGTGCCCGCTTGAAGGGAGAAGTAAAACTCCCAAAGCAACTGTGCTTGTGCAGTCCAAGCACCAGTACTTCTGACCTTGGTTCCATCTGATCAGGTTTACCAGAATCATTCCTGCCAGCCCACTTTCCTGGCATTTCGGCCCAAAGCTGCTGCTTAAGTAGCCCAGTACTGGCAGGAACAGGCTAGGCAGGCAGTATCCTCTAGTCGTCTAGGCTTTGGATCGAATGCATTTTTCATTTGAGATCTCTTGAAAACCTTGTCCAGAATTAAAATATTGCAAAAGGCTAATACTTTAGAGAGCGGCCTTCAAAGGATGAACCTTCAGATTCTGATAGAGGCTAGAAAGTGGTGCCCCTGAAGAAGAAGTGGCATAAGCATATATTTTGCATCCCTCTCTGTATCCATATGTTCTCCCTCCTCTCGCTGCAGCCCTCCTCTCATCCATGGCTCAACTAAAATTAGAAAGTAGCATGACGTATTTTTAGCCCAGTAGAAGGTTGCTTTCAAATTACGTTTGCTCAGATGTACCAGGCTGAACTCCCTTGCCAGGAGAAACAGCGTGGGGAAAGTTGGTGTTGTGTAAATGGTCCTTAGCTGTTCCGCACGTTTTCCCCAAATCTTTTAACTGACATCTTAAAATAGCAGTCACTCACCCACCCGCCCTGACTGCTTTCTGGTATATGCCTCTCAAACGGAGTTTTTTTTTTTAACAGCTAGTCTCCTGCATGCAAAAGACTTGTGCCAAATTAGATATAATTTATTTTATTTTATTTAGAATTTATATACCGCACCTTCTCCCGAGGGACTCAGGGCGGTGTACAGCCAGATAAAAACATACAATACAAACATTAAAAACAATTAAAAGGATATATATTAATTTGGCCCCAATTTAAAATAACAAACCAATTAAAAATATTTAAAAAATATGTTAAAAAATATGTTAAACCAGCCCGGCTTGCTGAAAAAAGAAAGTTTTAAGGGCACGGCGGAAGGCACGGAGGTCTTGGATTCTCCTTATCTCTGGGGGCGGCTGATTCCAGGGGGTAGGTGCCCCCACAGAGAAGGCCCTCCGCCTGGGGGTCACCAGCCTAGATTGTTTGGCTGATGGCACCCCGAGGAGGCCCTCTCTGTGGGAGCGCACAGGTCGATGGGAGGTTCTCGGTAGCAGCAGGCGGTCTCGAAGATAACTCGGTCCTATGCCATGGAGCGTTTTAAAGGTGGTAACCAACACCTTGAAGCGCACCCGGAAGACCACTGGGAGCCAGTGCAGCTCACGCAGGAGCGGTGTTACGTGGGAGCGCCAGGCAGCTCCCGTAATTACCCGCGCAGCCGCATTCTGGACCAGTTGGAGCCTCCGGGTGCTCCTCAAGGATATCCAAGCACATACAGATACATAATAAAAAGTGGTTTTCCATTGACAGGTCTCTCTCAGTGGTTGACTAGTAGATTGACAGGTTGGAGCACCTGCAATCAAGGTGGATTGAATAGATGGAGCATTAGTGCATGAGGCTTCCCACCTTGTAATCTGATGGATTTCTAGATCTGCCTTCTTGTGTGATCGATCCCCAACGAAATGCTGAATTGTTTTCCTGGCTCTTCCCCACCCACCCCCTTACTTTCAGCAATGCCTGAATCACAGCACACTAGTCAATTTTAAAGATGACTCTTTAGATCCTAACCTTGACAATTTTTAAGACTTTTAAGATGCTGGCTGGGGAATTCTGACAGTTGAAATCCACGTGTCTTATAAAGGTACTTTTTCAAGAGGCAACTGGACTTTCTGGTTTTTCTTTGAAGACGTTTCGCTTCTCATCCAAGAAGCTTCTTCAGCTCTGACTGGATGGTGGGGAATGGAAGGATTAATAAATTATAAATTAAATCCTTCCATTCCCCAACCATCCAGTCAGAGCTGAAGAAGCTTCTTGGATGAGAAGCGAAACGTCTTCAAAGAAAAAGCAGAAAGTACAGTTGCCTCTTGAAAAAGCACCTTTGGGACAACCATGACCTGGATGATGGAGAATCTCCATAGACATGTGTCTTACAGTTACCAAGGTTGGGAAACCCTGCTTCGCATCAGCGGCCCCCAGCCTTTTGAGCACCAGGGATTGGTTCCTTTGAGGGTGGTTTTTTCCCGCAGATGGGGGAGGGGGCATGGTTTTGTGTGCTGCCGGGATCCTGCCCGTATTCTGATAGGGCTTTGCTCATTTGCATGGCCTGGTTCCTGGTGGGCCGTGGACTGGTGCCAGGCCCAGGGATTGGGGACCCCTGCCTTAGATGATTCTCCTAGTCCACTGGTAATGTGCTATGTCAGTGGAAGCATGCCATAAATTTTGATCTAATACTATGCCTGTGAAAGTATTGCTTCCTTGCACCTACAGTGTGCATTCAGATGCAATCCTTGTCTCTTAGTATAACTGTTTCAGACACTCCTTTTCACCCAGGTCTTTGGTGAGGGAGGGTGATACCCTTCCCTCCATCGCTCTCCCCATCTTTTATCTTTAGTTTTTATGTTTTTATGGATTTGACTGTAATTTTTTCCCCTTGTTTCATTGTTGTGAATCACCCACAACAATGGGGTAGCATACAAGTTCAACTTACTATAGTTCGTCAGATGCTGAGACTTGGAGTTGATATTTTTATCCACCTATCGAGTCCTTCCCAAAGACCTGGGATAGGCAGGTGGGGATGTTTGGGAGTTAGAGAGGCATTGTCTCAGGATGTAAGCTGTACTAAGTAAAGCTGCCCTTTGCAATTGACTGATGAGGATTTTGTCAATGCCGATGGTGTTCAGGTGGCGCTCCGACTGTTTTGGGATTGCACCCAAAGCGATTGGCACTACCTTTGCTTCCTTTTGGCACAATTGCTCTACTTCCATTTGCAGGTCTTTCTCTTCTATTCTGCTGTCTCCAGGTACTGCCACGTCCAGTATCCAGATTTTTTGTTTTTTTTGTTTTTTAATGGTGTTAATTGTTGTTGTTATTAGGATTGGTCACTCATTATGATTATTATTATTGTTATTTTATTATTATTTTCTAGAAATGCTTCAGTATCATATGCGTTGAGTTTAGGACTTGAGAAGTTTAATTTTCCCAGTTTCAGACCTTGAAACAAATCGGACAACCTTCCCAATCACACTGGCCCAGAATGTAGTCGAGTAAAATTTTGTGTGATTCTGTGAGAGTATATAGGGTTTAAAAGGTTACTTAATATGTTTACTCAGCCAATAGTGTGGGACAATCTTCTGCAACAGTGAGAATAAGGAGTATAGTATAGTTCTCCCCAAATTCTAACTATTTCAGACCAAACATGTCTCAGAGAAAATGAAAAAAGACAATAATACATATTATTGTTCTTGTTAACAGTGAATGACGACATTTCACAGATGTCAGCATTTTGAGAAAGTTACTTTATTGAATCATTACAAATCACCAGTATAAACAAACATCATTGATCAGCTCTAGATTTTGGCAATGCTAACAATAAATAATTGTGGACGATTGCTGTTCCAAAATTTGACGCCTTCTGTTTTGCATTCTCTTCAGATTCTCCTACTTTGAAACCAGTTTCTTTGCTGAGAAAATGTGAATCGCTGGATTCTCCGCTCCAGCCTGGCACTTCTACCCCCATGAAAAAGAAGAAAGGCTGGCCCAAGGGCAAGAGCCGTAAGCCCATCCACTGGAAGAAAAGGCCCGGGCGCAAGCCAGGCTTTCAATTGAGGCGGGGGAAAGTCCGAGCGCCTACTTCAGAGGAGACAGTCGATTTCATGGAAGCCAGTTCCAAATCAGGGCGTAAGACGAAAATGCAGGACGAGGAAGAGCTGGTTGAGGAGAAGGAAGAACTTCTGCCCAGTGCTGAAGAAAGGAAAGATGAAGATGGGCCCCCGGAAGTCGGTGATTTAGGAGAAGAGGAAGATATTATGCCTGCTAGAGAAGCGAGGGCGACATCTCCCGTAGACAGCAGCAACAGTCCAGAAATGGACTCTAAAGAACCTGAACTGGAGGAAGACGTGGAGAAGCCTCAAGTTCTCGATGACCAGAGGCCGCCATCCGAAGAAGAGCAGCAGGAAGCTGAAGAACCCGAGCATGACCAGGAAGAGGAAGAAGAGGAAGTCGCCGCAGTCGCTAACCAGCATGAAGATCACGATGCCGATGACGAAGAAGACGATGGCCACCTGGGCTCTGTCAAAAAGGATGAGCTGGAAGAGCAGGCTGAGAAGGAGGGGCTGAAGGAAGAACCGGAAGTCCAGGAGCCTTTTTTAGAAACAAGCACACAGGACGATAGAGAAGAGGATGCCAAGAATAAGAGTGAAGGAGAGGCCGATTCCGAGGAGGATCCGGTATCCCATGAGACGTCGGTAGGGTCAGACCCGGTTCCTGGCTCGGAAGACGACCAAGAAGAAGAGCAGCATCCTAAGGAAGGGCTGATTGAGCTGAAGGAAGACGAGCCGATCCCTCACAGTGAACTAGACCTCGAAACGGTCCAGGCCGTGCAGTCCTTGACTCAAGAGGAAGAAAACCACGAGCATGATGTGGCTTACCAGGACTGTGAGGAGACCCTGGCTGCTTGCCAGAACCTGCAGAGCTATACCCAAGCCGAAGAGGACCCCCAGATGCCGATGGTGGAAGACTGCCAGGCCTCCGAACACAACAGCCCCATCTCCTCGGTCCAGTCTCACCCCAGTCAGTCGGTGCGCTCCGTCAGCAGCCCCAGCGTGCCCGGCGCTCTGGAGAGCAGCTACACCCAGATCAGCCCCGAGCAAGGCTCCCTTTCCGCCCCTTCTATGCAGAACATGGAGACGAGCCCCATGATGGATGTGCCTTCGGTGTCGGACCACTCCCAGCAGGTGGTGGACAGCGGCTTCAGCGACCTGGGCAGCATCGAGAGCACCACCGAGAACTACGAGAACCCCAGCAGCTACGACTCCACCATGGGGGGCAGCATCTGCGGCAACGCCTCCTCGCAGAGCAGCTGCTCCTACGGGGGGCTCTCCTCCTCCAGCAGCCTCACCCAGAACAGCTGTGTGGTCACCCAGCAAATGGCCGGCATGGGCAGCAGCTGCAGCCTCATGCCCCAAGGCAGCGTCCAGCCAACCGCCAACTGCAATATCAAATCTCCCCAGAGCTGTGTGGTGGAGAGACCCCCGAGTAACCAGCAAGCCACGGCACAGCCTCCGCAGCCCCAGCCCCAGCAACCCCAGCCGCCGCCCGCGACGCAGCAGCAGCAACAGCAGCAGCAGCAACAGCAACAGCAGCCGCCTCCCCCCCAGCAGCAGCCGTCCCTGTCGCAGTGTAGCATGAACAACAGTTTCACTCCGGCACCGATGATCATGGAAATCCCGGAATCCGGCAGCAGCGGCAACATCAGCATCTACGAGAGGCTCCCTAGCGATTTCGGGGCCGGGGGTTACTCCCAGCCATCGGCCACTTTCAGCTTAGCCAAGTTGCAGCAGTTGACCAACACGATTATGGACCCCCACGCCATGCCTTACAGCCATTCTTCTGCGGTGACTTCCTATGCAACCAGCGTGTCTTTGTCGAACACGGGCCTGGCGCAGTTGGCCCCCTCGCACCCTCTGGCCGGAGCGGCCCAAGCACAAGCCACCATGACCCCCCCGCCCAACTTGGCCTCCACGACCATGAACCTTACTTCTCCCCTGCTCCAGTGTAACATGCCCACCACCAACATCGGCATCCCTCACACCCAGCGGCTGCAAGGCCAGATGCCGGTCAAAGGCCACATTTCCATCCGGTCGAAATCGGCCCCGTTGCCCTCGGCGGCTGCCCACCAGCAGCAGCTCTACGGCCGCAGCCCTCCCGCCGTAGCCATGCAGGCCAGTCCCCGGGCACTGGCCGTTCAGCGCGGCATGAATATGGGGGTCAACCTGATGCCCACGGCCCCTTACAACGTCAACTCCATGAATATGAATACCCTGAACGCCATGAACAGCTACCGGATGCCCCAGCCCATGATGAACAGCAGTTACCATAGCAACCCCGCCTACATGAACCAGACGGCCCAGTATCCTATGCAGATGCAGATGGGGATGATGGGGAGCCAGGCCTATCCCCAGCAGCCTATGCAGCCCAACCCCCACGGGAACATGATGTACACGGGCCCTTCGCACCACAGCTACATGAACGCTGCCGGGGTCCCCAAGCAATCCCTCAACGGGCCCTACATGAGGAGATGAGCAAGACGAGACACACACACCCTCCCCCCGAAAACTTCTCCTTCTCAATCAAGGAACCTTTTATACTGACAAAAGCAGAGACAATGGATCCTTTTTATCCCAGTTAAATATTGCTGTAGATCTTAGATAGGGTTTTGGTTCCCTTTCGGTTTATTTTAAAAACAATTTTTTTTAAGGGGGCCTGGTCTTTTTTTTTTTTTTTTTTTACCCTTTTCTTCGTTGGGAGGGGAGGGGTTGGTTCTCTGGCTTGGGGATCTTGGGTTATTTTAATTCCCCCCCCCTCTCCCTTTTCCTTCCACAATCTGGAAGAAACTTCACTGTTTTCAAATCCATTTTGGGAACTGGGCTTTGGGATTTTTTACCCTGTATTTTTTTTTTTGTTTTTTTCCGTCGTCGGGGGGAAGGAGCGGGATTGAAAACGTGCACACAATATTCCCGTCATCGAACGTAAGAGTCCTGCCTTTGCCAGAACCACCTGGGCAGAGTCCGTGGTCTCTTTGTTTTTAGGCGCTGGAGTCTTTTTCTCCCCTTCATCCTTGTGCCCAGCTCTCCAGATGGCCCAATCCTGAAAGGTCAGAACCTTCCCATCTTCTGCGCCCTCGGCTTTGTGGCAGGCACTGGGAGTGGCGCACGGAGCCCAAAGCAAATTTTCGGAGCCTCTTTTGCCATTTCCCCCAAATATAGGAACTCTGAATAGCTGGTATTTTGTTTTCTCTCCTCCTCCTCCTCCTCCTCTCGTTCTCTCTCTCTCTCTCTCCTTGGGTGAACTGAAATACGGTTTAAATGTAACTAAAATGCACCCATTACATATATCCAAGCCGGAACTGTGTACTCCAGTCCAGCCGAGTCCCGCCAAAAACGTGGGTGGGGGTGGGGAAGAAACAAGAGTTCTGGAGGTCAGCCCCCAAACCCAGCGACTGGACTTTGCAATTGTGAAATCTGCTGGAGAGTCCAGTTCCCAGAGGCACTTGTGCAAAGCTGTCCCGCTCCTGGAAGTCGGGAGGTTAACATTTAAACGGTTGTCGCAATCACTTCACGTATTATTATTATTATTATTTTAAAAAATCGGCTGGCCTGGTGCTAGCGGGCGGGGAGCTAGGACTGACGTAGGATTCCTCCTCCTGGTAACAGCTCTCCCCCCCCTACTTTTTTTTTTTTTTTTTTTTTTAAATCCCCTTTGCCTCCTTTCATCTTCGGAGGTTCACACTAGCTGGAGTTTTTTTTTCCCACACTGCCTTTTTGTGTGAGAGCCTTCTTTTGGGGGGCTTGGGGGGGGGTGGAATGACAGGAGGATTCTCCCGCCCTCCCCCCCTGCATTGCAGTCCATCCTATCGAACCGATCGATCGATCGAAGGACCGCGAGGCCTGTGGGGAACACGCCACCCGCCGGATTGCAAAGGAGGAGGGGGGAAAAAAATGTAGCTTATCCTTCTGATGTAAAGTTCTTCTCTGTATATTCCTGTAGAGCTACAGACGCACTTAGATCGACTTAGATGTGTAAAAATTTTGGTTTTTTTGTTTTGTTTTTTTTCAAAGCAAAACCCGAAAGGCAGTTTGGAGGGGCCAGAGCTTCAGCTGCAACTGAGCGGACTTCCTCTGTCCTCCTGAGGATGGAAAGGCAGAATCCCTTGGGCTTCCAGCCCTCGTTTTCTCTCGAATTCTTGAGCATGTGTACAAGGCTGCGTAGGACCTGGGACCCTGTAAATAGCCATCGATCCAGGCTCACTTCATCTGTCTTGAAAGGTGACCCAGCCTGTCCCCCTCCTTCCCAGATCATCTGCGCAGGTTGGCTGGCATTGCTTCCCGGCTGCAGGTGGGTAGGAGCTGGTTGGTTGGGGGTGTCGAAAGCAAAGCTGTTGGCACGAGGGCCGTAAAATATATATAGATATATATATATATATTTTCCGTCTGCTGTTACCTTCCCCCCTCCCCTCCCCCGGTTTTGAATTTTTCTACTTTTTTTTTTTAATTTTTAAATCAATTGGGCAGCTCCCTTTTTTCCACAAACCTTTGTGACTGTAGAGCTTATTGTAGATGAACCGGTGTTCTTTTCTATATTATTATTAAGAAGAAGAAGAAGAAGAAGAAAAAAAAAAAAAGTATCCAAACACAGTAATATTGGTACCTTGTCATTTTTTTTCTCCACTTCTGGTTTAAGAAAAAGAAAAAGGAAAAAAAAAAAAAGAAAATAATAATGTATTTTTAGCAAAAATAAACTTGGGTAATCTTCTAAAAGAAATTTTAAAAAAAAGAAAAACTCACTGTTAGTGACTTTGATGCCTTTTAAAAAAAAAAAGAGCTTTTTTCATTTCATTCCATCTTTAAAATTTTTTATCTTTGTTGTAGAATATTAAAGACTATTTTAAGAAAGATGAAAATTCTCTTTAAAGAGATCTCTAGAATGTGTGACTAGAGCTCCAGATGCCTCTAAAGCCGCATGTACAAAATGAAGCCGCTGTCTATTCCTGTCTGTTTATATTTGCTTTTCCTGTTTTGTAACTTCTTTGTACTTCGTTCTTGGTGACTTGTAAGCTTCAAAAGGGGAAGGGGTGCCTGGATGATGAACCCTTGTAATTCTCCATGTCATGAGCTCCTGGGCCTCTCTTCCTCTCCTTGTATGTAATATCACTTTTTCCCTCCCCCCTTTCTAGCAAGTACTTTCAAAAGAACTCTGTACATTTTAACATAAAAAAAAAATAAATTATGTTGAGCCATTTTGGAGGTCTGGTTTTGCACATGGAATCTTTCTTCCTCTGGTACGTTGACTCTCACAAGTTTTATTATTGCGCCTCGTACGACGAAATTAAATGACATCTTTAGTGTACATTATAAAAATAAAACACAAAACACACATCCTTTCACATTCTATGCAATTGAATTGAAAACCTCTGATATTGCATTAATATTGCACTATACAGTAGAATTCAATATAGTTACTGCTCTGGGATAGAAGCTGTTTTTCAGCCTATTTGTCCTCGTTTTTATTCTCCTGTACCGTTTGCCAGATGGTAATAGTTCAAAAAAAAAAAAGGGGGTGTCCAGGATGAGATGGATCTTTTAGGATGTTTTGAACTTTCGTAAGGCAGCGGGAGCTATAAAGCTCTTCCAAGGAGGAGAGAGGGCAGCCAATGATCCTCTGGGCAATGACGTTGACCCTCTGGAGCACTGTCCTATCTGCCACTGTGCAATTGGCAAACCATACACAGGTGTCATAAGTTAAAAATAAAAAGGGGGCTCCAGAATTGTCTCTAACGCATAAAACGGCTCTCTGTTTTTCTCTTGGCGTTTGCCATTTGTTCACCCTGGAAAAATCTCAATTTTTCTGTCCTTTCCTTTTGCTCTCCTGGTCCTAGTTTCTCCAATCTGCAGGAAAGTAACCTGACTTAAGTTTGAAATCTGCGAAAGCTGAAAGCACTTTTCTGATAACAGAGATTGACAGTTGCTGCCATCTTCAGACGAGCGTTGTCGCTGGGTGAAGATGGCATGCCTTTAGCCGAGGTGTTTTCGTTTTGGAAAATATATATTTTCCCCCAGTTCAAAGTGCCTGTCGTTTGCTTAGTTCCTGAACCTCAGCATGAGTAGATGTAAGCGAAAAATACGAGCTTCAAACATGAGATCCAAAGGCAGCTTGAAACCTATGGAAAGGATTGAACTGTGAAATGCCGCAAATTCTGTCATACAGTTTGCTCTCTTGTAAGCTATCAGCTGATGTGTCAAAACATTTGGGATATGCATTCAGATGTACAAATCTAGTATCTTTTAATGACCCCATAATCCCTTTCGGGATGGAGTCTGGGCAACTGAATGGAGCTAGCAGAGTGTTTTAATGGCCTGATGCCTTTCCTGTCGCCAATGCGGAGTTTTGTTCAGATATATTCTCATTGTGCCCAGAGAGAGAAATATCTGCCTCTACCTAGGATCGAACTCACAACCTCCTGATTGTGAGGCGAGAGCTCCATCTCTAGGCCGCTGCACCATTTGCACTGTGGGCTTTTATAGCTGCTCAAACAACCCAAAAATAATTGAGGTGACCGACCATCCATACTAAAGTCATCCATAATCCCTTGCAATGGGGTGGAGTCTGGGCAACTGAATGGAGCAGAGTGTTTACTGGCCGGATGCCTTTCCTTGTCGCCAATGCGGAGTTTTTATTCAGCAGATATATTCTATATATTCTAGTATGTTCGTAAGTAAAAACGTAAAACTTTTAGGCTTCCTTTAGTACAAACTAGACAACATGGGACCCACTTGAGAGATATTTCTTTACCTAACCACAGAAGCCTTTTTCAACACAGGTGGTCCAACAAGCAGTGGAAGTAGTGGCGATTTCCTGCTGCCTTCCCCACTGACTTTGCTTTGGGGAAGTCGGCGGGCAGCATCGGCAATTGCGAAGACACGACACTGCAGCAGCCACAACTTTGCAAATCCAACCGGTGTGACGATCCTTGAAATTTTAATGACATAAAAAGGGATTCCAGGTTTTGCACACATTCGTGGCATTAATGGATTTGAGGTACCATGATTCCAAAAAATAAAAATAAAAATCGCATTATAGTGTACCATTTGGGTTAACCAAAGGTGACAAAAACAGAAAAAAGAGAGTTTTAATAATAGATAGATACAGCAAATGTTAAATAGTAAAAACTATTGTGGGTTGAACAATTATCTTGAGATCAAAAGACCAGAAGAGAGGCTCAATCCAGGGATGAAATCCTCCCGGTTCGGACCGGATCGGGCAATCCGCTAATGAATAGGCTGTAAAAAAATGCTTTAAAAAAGTAAAAAAAAAAAAAAAGGTTGGCCACGCCCACCCAGTCACATTACCCCGCCGCCCCACCAAGCCACACCCACAGAACCGGTAGTTAACAAATTTTACATTTCCCCACTGGCTCAATCTATTCTCCAAAGCACCTGAGGGCAGGAGAAGAAGCAATGGATGGAAACGAATCAAGGAGAGAAGCAACCTAGACCACCCAGTCACATTACCCTGCCCCGCCACGCCTGGAGGGCGTGGCAGGGGAAGGATACTGTAAAATCTCCATTCCCTCCCCAATCCAGGAGAAGGATACTGCAAAATCCGCATTTCCTCCCCATCAGCTGGGACTTGGGAGGCTGAGAATAGATGGGGGTGGGGCCAGTCAGAATTTTTACTATCGGTTCTCTGAACTACTCAAAATTTCCACTACCGGTTCTCCAGAACTGGTCAGAACCTGCTGAAACC